CACATTGCTGGTTTGCTTTTTGAGAGATGAGGAGATAGAGGCGGGATAGTACCTTTCGAGGAAAGCTTTCTTCATGGCCGCCCATGTACCTATACTTCCCGAGGGAAGATTGAATAGCCAATTTTTTGAGGGAGAATGGAAAAGCCCTCAACTTTATTTGTTCCTCGGTGACTCCATTAGGACACATGCTTGTGCGTACGACATGAAACTACGAGAGATGTTTGTTTGGATCCTCCCCTCTTAGGCTATGGAAGGATGGAAGAGAGCCCCGATTTGAGCTCAAATGTATTACCCTCATCAAGAGTTGGGAAGGTCATACATAATGGTTGTTGATTGAGATTTGGAGCGGTGAGCTCCCTTAAGGTTCGTGTCTCGAGAGCCATAGTTGATGGTTCTCCGGATTCGCTAGAGCTAGAGCTAGCGGTGGATGAATCTTTGGTAGACGCTTCCTCCGAGTCGGTACTTGAAAATTTAATTTTCCACAGCTCGAAAGATCGCTCTATTTCCGGGTTTGCTTGATAGGTGATTGCGTTCAGTGAACGATATTTAACCATATACTACAAAGCTCAGCAATAGAAAAAGTAATGACTCTTTATATTTTGTTTATTTATATATATTTTTTATTATTCTTGAATTAAAAATAAAAAGAAAAATGATTGCCATTCCCCGGCAACGACGCCAAATTTGACGAGCAATTTGTCGTGATGCGTGTCAAAATAATAAATACAATACAACACTAATGTGTAGTATAGCGTATTAAGGTTCATATCCACAGGAAAAGGAATACTTCTTTTTTTAATTAATTAGTAACAAGGGGGGTTTTCAGTTTGATTTGATTTAATTAAATTAACACCAAGATTAACGACTTATGTGGTTTAATTAATAGAGATGAAGACTTGATTTTGCATTTATCCACTTAATGAAATGTTCATCGATCCCTGTTATATCTTTAACTATCTTCCTCTCGAATACTCAATTGAGGAGTATATCCAGTTCATCGAGGGTAGTTATTAATAACGAGACGCGTTCATTAATAAAACTTACTACCGAGTCAATATAGAACACGTGCCGCATATTAACCCGATAGTAGCAATAAATTCAAGATGAAAACGATTGAAATTTACAACCTCAACACAAACGGTTTATTGGTTTAATCAATGTAATTAATTCCCCTTAGATTATTAATCATGAGACGCATGCAGTACAATCCAAGTTTACTATCGTAAAAGGACTGAACGAGATGGGCGAAGGTGGCATGGAATTATTCAGGAAAGTCTACACTGGGCGAATAGGAAAGGTATTACGTTTAAGCATACAGATCGTGAAGGGAACTGGACTGCGCACTTCCTAGCAAAAGCCCACTTTGGCCCAACCCGTTTCTTCTTTGCTCCAGAATTTCTTCCTCCACTTGCAAAACGGGCATACTTTATGGATTTATTTGGCCTTCCTTCTTTTCGTTTTCACTAATTTGTATGTTTTCGGGTCAGGCCTAGCCCCCCTGAAACTCTTTTTTCTGTTTTTATTTCAAATTTGTTTCATTAAATGGGAGGTATTGGTTTGGTCCCCCTCTCATTGTAATCATCTTCTTTTTAATAAAATAATGGCATCTGACTCCCGGCATTTGCCCCACTGATTTTGGTGGTTTGCCTTCCGGGATAAAAAAAAAAGGACCGAACGATTAACAAGTGTATTCGTCGATCGATTCTAGTAATAATTAATAGATGAAACAAAAATAGTCGATCCTTTAAGTAATGTTAAAAATATTAATATGAAATATGAATAGAAATTAATTAATATTCAAGGAGGAAGCTTAAAGAACATAAATGTTACTATAACTAATGTTGAGATGTTAACTAATTGTCATCTTAGCAACACTCCCCAACATTAATATAGAGATAGATTAATTAATATTCAAGGAAGAAGATTAAAGAAAATAACTCCAAACTTACAATTCATTAAGCTTCAAAGTAGCAAAACCAAGATGGAAGAGTTTAGCCCCTCATTTGGAGACTAAACATACTAGAAAATATAAAGGAAATACTTGTCTAAACTGAGCTTAGAAGTATATGTGAATTGGTGAATTTAATGGGAAGGAAATGAGGTGTATTTATAGGTGTTTGGGGCATGCAGGGATGTGTACCCGATCGGGTATATAGGGCACCCGATTGGGTACCTTCAGTAGCTTCCCGGAAGCTGGAAAAGTGGGAAATACCCGACCGGGTATGTCAGTTACCCGATCGGGTATTACATTTGAATGTGGTCAAATATCTTCTGCACGTTGCCTTGTTCCAGATTTGATCCGATTTGATATTCCAGCATGGTGCCCGATCGGGTACAATTCAAATTCCAGAATCCCTATTTTTGTCTTGTAATCTTGCACCTTCCTTCCACTTTTGGGGTTCACCAATGGTCCCTTGATTGATCATGGACCTCTTTGAGTTCAGAACAAACCTAATCTAAACAAATTACAAATATTTTACAAACAAAACTATTACACCAAAAGAGTGTAATTTCCAAAGTAACAATCAATTAAAACTAATTAAAAACACGAACATAAAAATGGAAATTACATGAATGTCAGACGGCCCCACTCTTAGAGGTCCCACCCTCAACAATAACCTGAAGGGGTCGGGTCCTATCCTCCCCTTGAGCCAGTTGCTCAATATCAATAACCGGTGGCTCATTCGCAGGGGTTCGGGACACCCCGGTGGGAACGAGGCCGATTTGCTGCAAGGTCCTCTGCCCCTCGTCCACCTTCGGCTTCTTATTCTTCGCCGCTTTGGCCTTCTGAGCAGCCCCCTTTTGTCCTTTCAATCAGCCTCGTTATTCTTCTTCGGGCCTCCATCACCTTTCCGACTCTTTTCGGCTTTGGCAGCCTCCTCGGCGGCTCTTTTTTGAGCCATCTCTTCCTGGTGTTTTAAGTTAAACAATGTTTTCCTGTCCATGTCGTCAGCTGCAAGGTAAACAACAAACACGGTTAGAAAAAAATGCAGATCAAAGCGCATTGGGGACCGCAACGACCTCGGCATTCAGACGGATCAGTGCCTTTAGCCCATTCCGTCTCCTCAACCATCTCAGGGAACAAATCCCCCCTTTTCCTTGCCAGGAAGTCGCTACCTCTCGTACCCAAGGAGGTCCATCCTCTCCTCACTCGTATACTTCACCAACACTCTGCCCCCCAGCGAGGAAGGTAGCCATGGCAGGAGCAATGTCATCAGCTGTCGCCTTGCCCACGGCGGGGTGTCTCTTAAAGATCTCACCCACCGAAATGAAGACAGACATATCTTTCCAATACTTGATTGACGAAGGCAGTCCGTTAAAACTCCTTCTCTTCGGGAGCTGCTGGAGGTTGGCAATGTCACCACAATTTTTATGCCCCCTCCCCGGCTTAACTTGAATAAGTTCACAAACAATCAATTTGAGCGAAGGCTCTATGTCCAAATCCTTACACCTACGTAAAACCCTCGTTATCAGTGCATAGCTATTCAGCGACAACTATCCAGGCCTCAAACCCGTATAATTGAAGCAACTCACCAAGAACGGATGGAGCGGGAACCACAAACCTTTGCAAAATATAAACGCACCAAAATATCCCTTCAGAGGATCCAACACATTATTCGATGGCAACGGCTCCCGGACCACCCCGTGAGGGTCGATAAACATCTGAGCAAGAAGCACATCATTATGCGTGTTCTCGTGCCGAATATTCTTTAGCAAAGAACAATCCAAGAACGAGTTCCCCTTCGGCACGTCGGGGGGACGGGGCGGCGATTTCTCCGCCTCTTCTTGGTCTTAACGGCCACAGACACCAGGGGAAGGCACGTCTCTGAATTGGATGGACCGGCACATTCTGCGGTGTCAGTCCCCGAAGGAACTCATACTCATAAACAATCAGGGCACGCTCCTTAGCGTCATTGGACGATGTTTCATCCTCCTCGGAATTTTCATCCTCCTCGGAATCAGTTTAAGATATCTCTACAGCTTCACCCTCGGAAGCCTTCTCATTACGGCGTGGTACCTTCAGACTAAGCTCCATTTTGAAGTTGTCTAGTCTCGAAGAGGTTCCCTCACTCTCAGAAAGCCTATTGGGGCATCACTAACAACTCCCACAAGTACCCGCCAAAGATCAAACAACGATTCCCCAAAGAACACCCAATCTAAAGATCACGAAGCTAAGTACACAAAATAATGCGAAGAACTAACCTTGAAGGTTTGAAGATTATGAAGAATAGTTAAGTGGAGTTTCTCACTCTAGAAATAGGCAGCACTTCGTCCGTTCTTAAAAAACAACGTTAGGAAAAAGTGAAGACAAGGGCCGAGTATTTATAGGCAAGCTATGATGAAATCCTCAATGGTTATTACACGTGGCCACACGCCCGCTGTCGTTCGGTTCAATCGGCGCAACCGCCCAACTCTACCTCTCAGATCACGCCACCTGTCGATATGCATCCCTCTGCCTGCCATACCAATGCTCATCCCACGAGCACGATATCACACCAGCAAGCATCCCAAGCCAAAATAACGAGGTAGGCCTTACGAATTCAAGCATCGCGGTGAGGGTCTCCGTTCAGCGACCTTCCAGACAAGGATTCTCCCACATGGTTGCCTTGTCCAGGGATTGCCGAAGAAATCGAATCCCGTGCACCTTTGAAGGCGGCACCCCGACAAACCGATATTTTGCAACGACTCTGACCACAAAATCTAGACACTCCTCGATCCCACATCCATGACGGCACGAGGAGTGGGGGCACTGTGGGACTACACCTCGGAATCTCCAAAAACTAGGAAATCAAGACCAACGACACACAACAACCAGACTCATCCCGGAAGATATCACCTCAGAATTAAAGTTCAGACACGGATGCCGGTGACAAAAAAACACAACACTGCTGTTACAACAACTCTACTTCCTTTCACTTCGGTACTTCTCAGTTCAGGGAGTGGAGTATATGAGCCTAGAACCACGGCCCACACACTTTAGACATATGGACAGCCCAATCCGACACGAGGAACATGAGGCCGTAGCCCAATTCAGGATGAAGAGGCGGACTTCCTGACCGCACTATCCCCTCGGTATCCTCCCCGCGGAGGGTTACACCTCGGAGGATGACGCAATTGTTTTTCTTCTCCATCACCTCGGTCCCATCCTTAGCGGGTTAGAACGCGCATGTAAACGGCCCAGTGACCGATAGTTGTAATAAGGCCTTCATTTGGGGTAGTTGTAGAGTTGTAGGGGCGGCCTTCATTGTGTCAAATTGCCCCCCTGTCTCCAAGCTCGGGCAAATTGCTTCATGAGCTGCAAGCGGTGAAATTAATGTTTGCTGAACGACGATGATGTCCGACATGTATCTCTCTTATTCTTCTTTTATCTTCGTCTTCCTTTTCCTACAATGCGGTGCTTTCAAATTCTAATACTCCGTATATGATTTTTAGATTTGTTCTAGGGAAATTTTACACAATTGCTATTAGTCTCTATACTTGAATCCAACAATAATTGTAGAACAAAAAAGCATGAATGAGAAGGGTTTGACTAATTTTGGTGCTTAAGGGTTTAGTTGTTATAAGAATACTTGCTTGAATATGCTGAGAGGTTTGCAGATAATAGAGAACGTTCTCAGGTCATTTTTAAGCACATGTATCAGAATGAAGGTTACCATTTCTATTTATCAATGTGATCTTCTGAATTATGATGTCAACTGAAGTCCATACACAAAGATCGAGTGATTATGTTCTCATTTTGAAAATTGGTTTGAGTTCATTTTGCATCAAATGTGGTTATGTTGATCATTAAGAAGATCAATCTACAATAATGGAACTTTTGTGTTTTTGATGCATTCGAGTATTAGGGTTTAACTGAGTTTTGACTTTTAATTCATGCCTAATACGACTATTCAATTTTGTTCAAAAGAATAATTATTAATCCTTTAGATAACCAAAACCTAATATATATTCTCCAGTTAGAGCGTTAGGTACTAAATGAATTAGAGGAAGCCTAATATGCTATACTAGAATTCTGTCATATATACACATCTAGAATAAGTGGGCCAGCTACATAAACATATACGTAGTAGAAAATATCCCGAGTTCATTTACCAATATTTTCATTTCCCTCTCTTTTCTGCCATTCACCATAGGTTCAGGAAATTGTCTTGCCCTGATATTTTGACACCCTCAAATCATGTCATTTTCGGTCTAGAATTTCAAATTTTTTCTGTCAAATCTACCCACTGCAGTGCAAAAAATGCTATTGGTTTTCAAGCTAACTGAACCTTGGTTGTGATAATTTTAGTTTTCATTGTATGTGCTTTTGGACTTAAACAAAGCTTTTGCACATGGACATTTATGCTATACTAGAAGGTGACCTTGCTGTCCGTTTGGACTGTTTGAGTTTCTTATAAATCTTCATTTGACTCCATGCATATTTAATCTTAAGTTAAGAGAAACTTTTCGCCTATTTTCACACAGATTATTATGATAGGAATGCACTTGGACATGGTTTTTTAACTTTTTTTTGGTGAACTGGGGTTCTTAAAAAGAGCTTGAATTTTTTGCCATATATCTATCCTTCATGTGTGTGAATTTAGACACTTCGAACAGTGAGATTAATCATGTTGTATTTCCATTATAGTCTTCGTAACAGATTCATGCTTTTAGAGATATTTATCTGTCTCTTGATTTTCCCAAACTGCAATTGGAAACGTTTGCTGAGTTACCTCAGGTAAATAAAAGTAATAACCATTCCTGGAGATAGCATGCAAAGGAATCTTCAAATGGTCGTACACATGTGCAATGATGTAGAAATGCCACATCAGGATAGAGATGGAGGGATGTCTCATTCCCCTAAAAGGGTCATAGTTGCATCTGAAGGAAATACAGGTCTCGAGCCACATGATGGTATTGAATTTGAGTCCCATGAAGATGCATATTCTTTTTATCAAGAATATGCCAAATCAATGGGATTCACAACCTCAATAAAAAACAGCCGGCGTTCAAAGAAATCTAAAGAGTTTATAGACGCAAAATTTGCTTGTTCTAGATATGGAGTGACACCAGAGGCTGAAGGTTGCAGTAGTAGACGCCCTACCGTGAAAAAGACAGACTGCAAAGCAAGCATGCATGTAAAAAGAAAGGGAGATGGGAATTGGTACATCCATGAATTCATAAAGGAGCATAATCATGAACTCCTTCCAGCCCTAGCATACCACTTTAGAATTCATAGGAATGTAAAACTAGCTGAAAGAAATAATATTGATATTCTTCATGCTGTCAGTGAACGAACAAGAAAGGTGTATGTTGAGATGTCAAGGCAAACTGGTGGAAATAGAGATGTTGAATTCACGGGGGATAGTTTGAATTATCAGTTTAGTAGAGGGCAGTGTTTAGGGTTAGAAGAGGGTGATGCACAACTCATTCTTGAGTATTTCATCCGTATACAGAAAGAGAACCCATATTTCTTTTATGCTGTTGATCTCAATGACGATCAGTGTTTAAAGAACCTTTTCTGGGTTGATGCCAAAAGCAGAAAAGATTTTGTTAGTTTTAGTGATGCTGTTTTCCTTGATACCAATTATATGAAGAGCAATGAAAAGATGCCAATTGTACTTTTTGTTGGAGTGAATCATCATTTTCAGCCGATGATACTTGGATGTGCACTAGTAGCAGATGAGAGCAAACAAACATTTGTGTGGTTAATGAAAACATGGCTTCGAGCTATGGGTGGACGACATCCTAAAGTAATTATAACTGACCAGGACAGAGCTCTTAAATCTGCTGCTGAGGAAATTTTCCCTTCTTCATGTCATTCCTTTGCTCTTTGGCATGTAACCGAAAGGATTCCTGAAATTCTTTCTCATGTCATAAAGCAGCGTGATAATTTCATGGGAAAATTCACCAAGTGCATATTCAAGTCGTTGACGGATGAACAGTTTGATATGAGATGGTGGAAGATGGTTACCAGATTTGAGTTACAAGAGAATGAATGGATTCGTTTGTTGTATGAAGACCGAAAAAATTGGGTTCCAATTTTCATGAGGGGTGCCTTTTTAGCTGGAATGTCTACAAGTCAACGATCTGAAAGTCCAGTCTCATTCTTCGACAAGTACATCCACAAGAAGATCAGTCTTAAAGAGCTTGTGAAGCAGTATGGACTCATTCTGCAGAATAGGCATGAAGAAGAAGCCATAGCAGACTTTGATACATTGCACAAACAACCTGCATTGAAATCTCCTTCACCATGGGAGAAGCAAATGTCTACAATTTATACTCACACAATATTCAAAAAATTTCAGGTCGAGGTTCTGGGGGTAGTCGGATGCCACCCAAAGAGAGAAGGAGGCGTAAATGGTGCAAACATAACATTCAGGGTTGATGACTGTGAAAAGGATGACAACTTTATTGTGACATGGAATGAGGCAAAATTGGATGTTTCCTGTTCGTGCCTACTATTCGAATACAAAGGGTTCCTTTGCAGACATGCAATGATTGTTCTTCAAATGTGTGGCCTTTCAAGCATCCCATCACATTATATTCTGAAGAGGTGGACTAGAGATGCCAAGATCACGCACATGGTGGAGGGCACTGAAAGGGTTCAAACAAGGGTGCAAAGGTACAATGACCTGTGTAAATGGGCCATTGAATTGGGGGAAGAAGGTTCTTTATCTGAGGAGAGTTACAATATTGCATTTCGGGTACTGGATGAAGCTCTAAGGAACTGTGTGACTGTTAATAACAGAGCTGGTACAGAATGTAGCAGTACTATAGCTGTCATTCGTGACGTAGAAGAAGAGAACAAAGGATCTCATGCCATGAAAACAAGTAAGAAGAAGAGTGCGACAAAGAAAAGAAAGGTTTGACATCGAATCAGCTCTCTGTTGTCAACCTAGTTGTGCTTCATTCTCTTAATGCCAATGACCTTGTCCTTCCCCACCCAGGTACAATCTGAGACTGAACTGGCAATTGTTGACACTCAAAACAGCTTGAACCAACTGGTTTGTCCCCTGTGAATTTAGTCATTACTATGTTTTCTTATGCGACAAACACAATTTACTAGAACCTGATTATCATGAGTAACTTGACTAGTTCTCATTCTCATCAGCAATTCATCATCGCTAGATTATTAATCCCAACTAGTTGGGTAGGTGAAATGATAGCTATTGTGTCATTTAATTTATTTGGCACTATAAATTCATGCAAAAGATCAGTGGCAATGTTTTGCCTATTAAACTATCCCACACCGGCCGCGTAAAAAATACAAATTAACATATTAAACTTTGGGTTACTTCTCCTATCAGGTTGACTTTTTAGAATGAAATCTTGAATCTTAATATGGTATCAAAGTCAATTAAATTTCAACAAGCAATTAGATCCTGATAAGTCTTAATTAACAATTAGCATGTATACTACAATTTGGTCTGCTCAAATGAGCCACCATTATGTGGGACATATTAAGCTATCCCACACCCGTCGCATATGAAAACACGAACTAACATATAAAACTTTGGGCTACTCCTCCTATGAGTTTTAGGATGGAACCTTGAGTCTTAATATTACCTCGGTCGCCAGGTGCCCTTTATGTCACCGCTTTATGCCTTTGGTTAAGGGAAGAAATAGAGAAGAGAGGAATGGGTGAGAAAGAGAGAAGATCATAAGACAAAGAGAAGATCAGAAGACAGATATAACATAAAAGTAGGGTAGATTTTGTGACATGTTTGGTAGGAGAGAAATAGAAAATAAATAGGTAAAGAACTAAAGATGGAGGAGTGCATTTCTATCATGTCTCTCCATGTGAGAGAAGAAATAAAATTGGTACCCAAACATTTGTCTCTTTCTCTCTGCATTTTTATGGTTCCCAATAAAAACATTTCTTTCCCTCCTCCTTCTCAATCTATCAAAGGCTATATGTGCAAGGACTTAATTACAACTTCATTTAGAGTAGTGGATGCAGTTTCTACAGATTGTTTCCACTGGAATTGAGATGGAAATATTTGTGTGGTGTGTGTGTGTGTGTTTTCTTCTGGCGTTCTTATTTAAACTTTCTTGTTTGTAGGATAATCTTAGCGCAGATAGTATGACCCTGAGTGGATATTATGGAACACCACAGAATGTGCAAGGACTGGTAGGTTGCTGCATATGGAGGACACAGTAGTCCTTGATGTGTTCTTTTTATTTTTGTGCAATGTTACAAATAATGTGATCATCCCACTGTTACTTAATTCCAGATGCAGCTTAATTTGATGGAGCCACCTAATGATTCTTATTATGTCAACCGACAGAGTATCCAGGGACTGGTACTAAGTGTGGATTTATGATTACGTAGTACTATTTTATGTTTTGTTTTAATCCTTCCTGCATTGCTGAACTGATATAGCAGCATATGAAGAACTTTGTAAACATTTGAATGGTTGTAGGGGCAACTCACTCCAATTACACCTAGTCATGATGGTTTTTTTGGGTCTCAACAAAGTGTGCCTGTACTGGTATTAGTCTCTCTTGATATAAAATGTTCTACTGCTCTAATTACAGTAAATAGACTTAATAAGACATCAACCAATATAGGGGCATCTGGATTACAGACCAAGCTTTGGTTTCAGCTTACAGGTCAGCTTACTAATTACTCCCTCCTTACCCCAAAGAAAGAGTCTTGTGTCAACTTTTTTTGTCCAAAAAAGAGTCCAGTTTAATCAAATGTAGTTGTAACAAAGTAATGAAAACAATCACAGAAAAGTTACATGTGCTAGATTTAGTAAGCCAACAAAAGTTTAGACTTTAGACAATATAAATATGATTATGAGAGTTGTACACTTGTAACTTGCCAAACGTAAAAAAGTTGTACATTACTCAAGCATGACAGTTTTTGGTACGTAGTTATTGAATTATAAATACTTGTCTTAGATTCAAGGGTGCTGCCATATATCATAATTTACTGCTCATTTGTATATACACCGTCTTTCATATCAGGATGAGCCTAACATGAGATCTGCTCAGTTGCATGGCGACAGTGCAAGCCATGAATGAAAAATGCGCATAATCTACTGCTCTCCAAGGCAAGTTTTTTAACAATAAAATCATTAGGGTCCATTTGGAACAAGGAATAGTTCAAGGAATGAAAATTAGGGTAAATAATTTCAAACTCAATTTATCAGTTTTAGGGGGTGTTTGGATCTGATTCTCAAAACTGATTCTGCTCCTTCAGGGAGCAGAAGCAGAAGCTGGAGTGTTTGGTGAAATTCCAGAAGCACTTTTGGTGCTCTAATTTACTCTTAGAATCAGTTTTTTTAGAAGCTGGGGGGGGTACCAACTTCTAAAAACTGATTCTGATTTTGCTTCTGCTTTAAAAAAGAAGCAGAAGCAGAATCAGTTCCAAACACCCCCTTAGAAAATTGTTCCAACTCTGTTGTTACATATTCATAATGCATAAAGACTAAGATTTTTTTTTTTATGTAAAATATTAAAGAAGTTCCTAAACTCTGCCATGAGATCATTTTTTTTGGTATAATGCCTGTCCCAAGCCAGGATAAAGGAGGGTGCTGTGGTAGGCGTGTGACAGCCAAGTAGCCAACAGTATCACTTAGCCACATCACATGACATGAATCCAAATATGTATTCGTTGTATTCATGTGGAGAAGTGATCTCGTATTATCTTTTCCCCTCATTTTTCCTTGTTTTTTTAATCCTTTTATCCTTATATATATAAACATTATTTTTATCCTTTTTATTTTATAATTTTTAGGTATATTCATCTCTTTTTATAGCTTATCTTTTTTATCTTTATTTTCTTTCTTTTCCTTTTGGTGGTGATATCATGTATCGATTCATGTTAGCCGACCCCAATATCTTTTGGGACTAAGGCTTGGATGTTGTTGTTGTTTGTATTAAAGAGGTTCCTATCATATTTGATTTTCTTCATATTTTCAAATTAAAGCCAAATTTGTAAACTATTTTCCTTGGCATTATCCTCCCTCCCCTTGCCATTTTTTTTGCTTTTCAAACAGTGTTTAGGAAAAGTAAAGAGAAAGAAGGGGTGGGGATGAAAATGGAAGTTAGTACTAATAAAATGTGTTGCTTTTAAATAAAGTGTTAAGATATATTCAGGCATACTTTTCATTTATTATCCTTTTTTTGTTGACTCAGATGTTGGCTCCTTACAAATTACAGCATTCTGATAGTTTTGGCATTCCAATTCTCTCATGAGTTGCTGCAGTGGATTTAAGCTTTTGAAGTTCAGAAGTACAATTTCAGGGATATAGAGGTGTTGTATTTGGTTTTGTTGTATGCAAAAATTTAGTCGGCATACATTTTCAGTTTTATATTTGAGTAGCTTCCTTTTTTGTTCATTCTTCTTCTACTAATGCAGTTTCAGGAACATGAACATACCTAATTAGATGTTGAATACGGAGTATGTTCTTATTAGCAGAGGCAAAGATAGATGCCAAGGTGTTTTTAGTAATCTAGCGAAGACCTGGAGTATGGATTTCCTTGGGGTACATTAGTCATTTGCCGCATCTTATTTTCAGTTGCAGTTGCTGGATCTATGAAGGAAGTTTCACCTTTCACCATTTCTCAGATTCAAATCTGTACAACTCCTTTACACCGAGTGATGAGAGTAGTTCGCACGGGGGCAATAGTTGGTGGCAAGCATAGAGGAAATGTCATGATGACGGGGGCAATAGTTGGTGGCAAGCATAGAGGAAATGTCATGATGATGTGCTTGACTAGACTACGTTTTTTGCTTATATTGGCTAGTGTTAGATTGGTTATCACGAGTTACACCCCTACTGAAATTATTTTGTACACGCTTCACACGTTTTGTTTGTATCACATACATTTAGTATAAAATCAAAGACAATTTCTGCAATTTTTAGATGAGTTACGGACGAATTCCTCCTCCCAATACTGACAAAATGTACTGGGGCGTGTATATAAAAACGTGTGCACATTACATGCTCCTTATTTTATTAGTACCTCTCAAAATCACGAATTCACGAATCACGATGCTCATTATTTGATTCTCAATACTCAGTACGAATTCACGATGCTCATTATTTGACTCTCAATACTCAGTAGAATATATCTGATGCTCATTAAACGTGCATTATTGCTCATTTAGTGGAAGTTGTGAATTTCACTTAAATTATCAAAACGCCACTAGTTATATGGTGCAAGCTGTATACTCAGCTGGAGTTAGGACTATCCATAGTCAGGTGCATGTTTGAGATTATAATACTCACTCGGTTACGATTGAAATAGTGACACAAATAATACTTTCAGAATTTAAATTGATAAAATTGTGATGGGGTCTGACTTTGGGTAAGAATGAGATCAAATTTTAACGATAAAAGCGTTAAATCGACTTTCTCACTGTATAAAAATTCAATTGAACCCTCTTTAAGTTTCTTCAATATGTCCTTCAAGTATATTATTTTCTTCAAATATGTTTTTTCACGGGTCAAGTATCGGTTTCCGACATGTCTTAGTGTAAAGACTGAAGGGTCATTAACAATTTATCCTTCAGTACGAGTCGCATGTAAATTTTTTTACGATCAGTGGGAAAAAATCCATTGTGTGGGATATTATTACTCTTTGATCATCATCATCGTCATTACCCCAGTGCAGCAAAGACTTCCACCTACAGTGGGGTTTATTACTCTTTGATAATGCCTGGAATTATGAAATATTTTTCGGTGATCAGAGCTAGTGGTGCTAGGGGTGGGAGAGGTGGGCGTCAAAGGCCTGTATTTTTTTACGATTTTTTTTATTATAACTTGTTTTATCTTTGTGCTTTAGTACAAAGGTAAGACTGCGTACATCCGACTCTCCTTTACCCCACCGTAGGTGGAGCCTTTGCGGCACTGGGGTAAATGAAAATGAAAATGATGATTTGTCAAAACTTTTATTTTTATTAATTTTATTAAATGTTTATTTTAGTCCAAAAAGATACAAAGGTATATTTGTCCAAACACACATATTTAGGAATTTTAAAACAATATAGTCAAATTTGTGATTTTTAGCTACCATTTACTCCTATTTAGATAATTCACCCGTAAATTATTCATTACATAAGAAATAAAAAGGTTCCACAACAGGTTTTAATTTCGAAACCAGCTTATTCTGTGGTAATTGTCTGATTCTCTTTTAATCAATACCCCCAAGAACAACCTAAATAAGAATCATCTCCCTGAGGTAGGGGGCATGCCAGTGACCTGGCCTTCGCCCCTGAATACTGTTCTTTAATTCTCTGGAAATTGCAGAAGGCAGTAGAATTTCATGAAAGGAAAAGCTCATTCTGTCCGGAATACATAATGATGACCTGGCATATGAGTAAAGCGGTATCAGGATGGACTACTTGCTATTACTATTCATTCCATAACTGCAATTCCTCCGGCAGCTTTGATCTTTTCGATTATGTCATTTGCCTCCTCTTTGGTGACTCCTTGCTTTAGTACGGCAGGCACCTTTTCCACCAGCTCCTTAGCTTCCTTCAACCCCAAACTGGTGAATGAACGCACCTCTTTGATCACCTTGATTTTTGCAGCCGCATCAAACTTCTCTAGCTTAACATCAAATGCCGTCTTCTCCACCTTCTTCTCTTCCGCCTTCGCAGGCCCGCCTTGTCCCACTCCAGCCCCACCACTAATGCCTTCTTCTGATGAAATGGCTTTCAGCACGGGAAGCTTCAGTCTCTCTCTGAGCATGGGCCCAATTTGTTTGCGCTCATCAGGTGTTAGGGATGCAATGCGTTCTACAAGTTGCATAATCTTATCAGACGGTGGGGGTCTAGGCCCGTATGGATCATATACTGTAGGGTATTTGTATTTTATAGGTTTCACATTGGGATCTCTTGGGGCAAAATCAGGTTGGAATGAACGTGATTGCAAATGTCCTTTTATTCTAACACGAAGTGCCCTGCTGGAGCATGTGAAAGATGCAAGTAGTTTCATGGCAATCATTGATTGATGGAAAAAATGAGTTCATTTACTTGAAACACATTCCTTTACCAATCTGTTTTTGTTGTGCAGCTTCTTATATCAATCTGTTGGAAAGCAAAAAAAAAAGAAAAATTAAACATCTACTTCACCACTAGGATAAAGATGCAAATTCCATAAGATGCAACATCTTATGAGATAGCAGACAGGATTAGTCCCATATCAATGAGTCAACTATTAAATAAGGAGAAGGCCAGCAACATCCTTTTAAATGGAGGATGGTTCTATATCAATGAGGAATTGAAAAGGCACACACCATGATTCCCTAGCGATTGATTTGGATTGCAGATCTTGAAGGGAGGATGGGCTGATGGGGTTGGACGGCGTAGTCCATTTTTTTTAACACATAGTATCCAAAATCATTTAAAGATAATGGTATCAAGGTGGCAGGTAACATCCGAACTGATGTAAACAGAAAAGAAAAACGAAGCACATAAACTCCATGCTTCTAGATTCGTTTAAGAAATGCTCATTCCTCATCTTCTTCGTCTTCTTGATAAATATATTGTTTCTAAAAACTGTTATACAATCACATATGTTTTTCTTTCAATTTTCACAAAATGTCAAATATAAACGAAGTGCATCAAAGCCCTTCCCTTCAAAACCCTCCATCCAAACAAAGTCTACAATTCAAATCTCCATTACCACCATAATATCAATATCCCCCATTTTTTCATCCTTACGGATATATATGGTATCATAAGTCATACCAAAGGACATAACTTATCTAATTGATTCAGAACAAAAAAAATTCATGTACTTCGCCTTTGTGCGTAAGCCCTTGAGGAGGCATCATTCATCAAGCTAAGTCATATTCATTTCTCTGGTGCACTACTAGAAGAATTCTCAGATTTTTCCTATCACAGTAAATTAATGCCCTTGTGTGTGTGTGTGTTTGTGTGTGTGTCTATATATATATATATATATATATATGCACACATAAACACACATATTGTAACATGCAGCTTGCTCTGCCAATTTCCTCACCAAAACTGTCAAACATTTATAACTTGCTTTAGTTTATCTTACGTTGCTTAACATAAATTTACAGTGTTAAATGAGAATTGTTCAAAAAGAGCTGTTCATGGAAAAAGTCTAACTACAACAATAATGATAGCTCCTTTTTAATTCTATATACTCCCTCCGTCCCGTTGGAATGTTCCCGGTTTGACCTACACACATATTAAGAAAATAAACTTACCAGGGGGTAAATTTTACTGTTTGGACACTGTTTGGACACTGTTTGACACTGTTTGGTACTGTTTGACACTGTTTTGCACTGTTTGACACTGTTTTGATGTAGGATAACTTTCCATTTAGGGAAATGAGAACTTTCCATTGGGACATCCAAAAAAGGAAAGTGGGAACATTCCAACGGGACGGAGGGAGTATTGAAAAAAGTTGTTTTCTTTTCCATAGCAGCAATTGAGTATTCTCTGCATAAAAAAAATCTGCCAAATCAATAATCCTGATTCCTGACTGAAAATGCAGATTTCCTAATGCAGTGGACCCGGAAATAAAAAAGACATTTAGAGCCTGTTTGGCTGAATCCACTGAATTAATGAAATTCTAGTCGTAGCGACTGAATTATTGAAATATTATATTTAAAATATATGAAAAATAGCTAAAACGGTCCTCTACAGACTACAATAACTTCAGCCAATTCAATCGTAAAAGTAACTTCAACCTTACTTACTTTGACTATTACACAACTCAGTGCGCGAACACAACAGTTACGTGTTTGGTAAAGAAGTTGATTGATAAGGCTAATAAGCTGAAAATAAAAGTTAGTTATGTGAAAACGGATGCTGATAATGTATTAGAAAACTGACAACAAAAATTATTCATCATCATCATCATCATTTCCCCAGTGCCGCAAAGGCTCCCACCTACGCAAATTATTAATACATCATTTTGTTTGAGAATATCTAAGAAGCATGTAAATGGTAGAGATAGGCGGGGTACAAAAGAATTACCTGACTGGATAAGAAACAAAGGCGGTGATTTGTGGGATATAGGAGCCTAGGAGGAGGCCAGAGCGCAAATCATGGAATCCTTTGTAAGGAGCAGCAGTCAGTAATGGAAGAAAGAAACAGGGTTGGGCTTGAGTCCAACGAATTAGGCCCGTACGTTAACCCCTCTAGTCAAGTTGAAGGACTTCGTTTGGAAGGAAGTTGGAAACTGGAAAGACAAGGATGGATAACCTTTGAGTGAGAGTAGTTTGTTCCAATGTGTGGATCCAAACATTACCTACTATGTTTTCTGAAAGTGGGATTTTGTTCATTACTATCAAACTGCTTTAAATTTAAAGCACTAAGTTTTGTTGGAAAAATGTGATTTAAGGATGTTTTCTTTTGGACTGTTTACAGTCCCAGACCAGACCAGACCAGACTTTCGTAGTTATAAAATACACAAAGCTCAGACGTTTACCAAACCAGTTCAGACCAGACTAGACTTTCGTAGTTATAAAATACACAGAGATCAGACGTTTACTAGACCAGTTCAGACTAGACCGGACCAGACCAACAAATTTCAGTCCAAAAGAAAACATCCTAAATAATACTCCCTCATTCACATAGAATTCTTTCCACTTACCCTTTTGGGATGTCCCAATTTTTTTCCCCATTTCCCTTTTTTGAAAGTTTTGTATGACTCACATTCATTTACTTTTTTCTTACTCAATTACAACCATACATTTTCACTTTATTCCCACTTTTTTAAACACCGATCCAAGTCAAACCGGGAAGAATTTTGTGGAACGGAGGGAGTATAATACTAGAATTTCAAATTTCAATGGACACGCTAGTATTTATAGTGATATTTGGACTGACATACATCATAACATGTCTTTCATTGCTCTTGTTTGTCACTACAACTCATAAAAGAGTTCTTGATTTTACTGAACTCAAAATACTTTTTTCTAAACGGTTTTCTTTAACCAAGGACTCTAAAGATAGACTAGCTATCAATTGAGGATCGGTATGATGAAATTACCAATATAGGGCCAGATCATTTAAGACTATAAACTTAGGACTTAATAAATCATAACTTTTTAAATTTTTAATATTTATAATACTAGTTAATTTGATGATATTTATTATATTTTCTTGAAGAAAAAGTTCAATGAAAATTAGTATGAAATAAAAAAAAAATTAACGAAATCTGCATCTGTGATTTTTAAAGTCTTTGGTGAATAGTTTTAAACAATGAATTGAATTTTTTTCCTTTCTTATTTGAAAGAATTTTAGGTCATTTGGTTAAAAAAGTGGTGCCTTTTGTTCTGATAAAACTTCTCATAATACCAATGCTATTGTTTGCGTAAGAGAGTTGTGTGCCTTTTCAAGTAATATGTGTAGATTTTTCCACTAATGATGTGCATATCATGTTAGAATTTATGTGTGCAAAAAAGTTAAAAGATTTAGAATTTGTATGACTTGTTGAGCCCATTAGGGTAGTAGGCAACTATCCAGGGGAGGATCTAGCATTTGAATTGAGGGTTGGCCAATAAATTAATACATATACAATAACTTCAATTGCAACAAGGTAAAATACAAAAAGAAATTTTACAAATATTTCACATGAATAGAAGTTTTCATTAAAGTCAAATAAAAAAGATAACAAAGTCAAGTCTACAACAATCCACCACATCATATGATAAATTAGATAATATTAAAAAGATCCTCACAAGTAATTCTCATATTAAAAACAATGGGGTTAATACTTCAATACTATTTCTAATTTAGTTAAACAAGTTACCAACCACATTGCTCTGATAATGATATATGGTATATTCCAATTACTCATTTTCAGATATTCTCTAGAAACATTTATTGTTATCCAATTTCTTGGTGACTTGCTTATCAAACATAAATGATACTGATCGCCCCTGTTAACAACAAGAATGGTTTCAATGTTATTTATAAAAAGTTGCCAACAAAGTTGTATTCTAATAAAATCACATTGATATATTAACTCGACAACCGTCTTTGCAATGCAAGTTGAAAACAGTGCACACCTAAGGTATTTGTAATAGTATTTCAGTAACTATCTTTACACATCGAAGAGAAACTTAAGATTTTGTTATAAGCTCTAACCCAATCTAAGTCGTTAGCAAAATAACCTTAACAAACGGGCCCGGCCCTAAGGGCCCGTTTGTTACGGTGTAAAGTAAACACTTTGCTTGTAAAGTGTAGGGAAGTAAACACTTTAAACCGTTTGGTTGAAATATTTAATATAAACTGTAGGACACTTTTTTAAAAACATTTTACACGGTACTATGTAAAATATTTTACTTGGGGGGAGGGTGGTAAACTAGATTACATCGGTTTATATGAGGCAGAATAAATACGGAGTATTGAATAACGATTTCTAACCTAGACTGCTACTCCGTATACGTTGAAGGCTCGATTATATTCGTATATAAGAAATAGAATCAACTTCTCATCAAATCTGCTCTACACTCCACGTTAACCAACGGGTAGCTTCTGCAATTTGATTTATTATACTATTCCCTCATTCCTGTAAAGGTTGGCCAAAGTTGACTTTCACGTGGATTAATAAAGTAAAAACTGTGTGGTTGAAATTTGTACAGATGAGAGAGAATTAACTTTAGCCACATATTCCTTACTTTAAATGGAAATGTCAAATCTTTTTGGGACATCCAAAAAAGGAAATTTGGCCAACCTTTTCGGGATGGAGGGAGTACGTATTATATATATATAATATTTGAAAATTAAATCTGTTGGTTTTGTGCTGCTTGAAATAAAGGCTTAAAGTTTTTAGTGATTACTCCATTTTTGCACACTACTCTCTCCTAGCGAGCAGTACACATATGTTAAATTTGGTGAATCGGCTATCTAGTCATTTTTAAATATTTTACATGTCAAGTTATTTTCTAAACAAACAATGTAAAGAACCCGCGTGTAATTTAAATATAGATTACCAAACAGTGCATTTTTATTTTAAATGCAAACTATTTTACTTCCCTAGACTTTACATGCAATCATTTTGCATGTAAAGTTTTAATGTGTGAACTACCAAACGGGCCCTAAACATATTTTATCACTTTTTCTCATTAGAAGTTGGGTTAAAAATAATGAACAACTGAACAAGTGTTTTTTATACAGGGCAGAAATTAGAGAACGTGATAAGTTCAAGACCATAAAATGAAGACATAAGATTGAATTGAAAAGTAAAAAAAAAAACAAGATATAGACCTGAAGTGGGAACGATCGAATAAAGAAGGGTGTGCAGAATTTTTTACAATTCCTTTGTTCCTAAATTTCAATAATTGAAATTTCAGAAAACTACAACTTATTAATTGAGCAAAAAATGGTCAATTGATAATTGAATTTGAAATATTTTCTAATTTGAACAAAATCTGAAATTTAAATTTTAATTTAGCTTACCTAGCTGAGTAGTGACTCTGAAAGATGGTAATCAGAGTTTCTTTTCCGGTGTGCAGGTACAGCAGACAAGGTGCCGCGGGAGGTGCACGTGGCAGAGGAATACGCCGTTGACGGCGAAAATGGCCGACTGGCTACAGAAGATGACTGGGCGATCGTGAGGATATATGTTGATCACCTAGATGAAAGGGAGCGGTCAACAAAAATGGGCCTTTGTACGGGCCAGTGGCATATACTTGTATCCAATCAAGCACCCATACCGGTAGACGGAAACGCGGAAACGGGTACGGGGATACGTCAAAACAAAAAAAAGTAGGATACAGATACGGGGCCATATTTGTAAATATTAAAAGTTATGGGGGTGTATTTACAAATATTAAAAGTTATAGGGGTCTATTTATAAATATTAAAAATAGATTTTTTTTGAATATATATATATATATATATACATACATACATATAGAGAAAACTTCATGTCAGGCCGGCCTGACGGGCTGCCCCGTCCGGCCGAGCCCGTTTGGGCACCTTCCCGGTGGAATTTTTTGATGAAATTTTTTGAGCATGTTCCTCATCAAGTCTAGTTTGTCCATACCAAATTTCAGCTCAAAATTCGATCGGGAAGGTCGTCAAATGATTTTTGCAAGTTAACTGGTCCGGAATATGTATTTTCCGGACCAGTTAACGTGCAAAAATCATTTGACGACCTTCCCGATCGAATTTTGAGCTGAAATTTGGTATGGACAAACTAGACTTGATGAGGAACATGCTCAAAAAATTTCATCAAAAAATTCCACCGGGAAGGTGCCCAAACGGGCTCGGCCGGACGGGGCAGCCCGTCAGGCCGGCCTGATGAGAACAGCCCTCCATACATATAATATGTTACGATGTCTACCCATTCATTGCATTGAAACATTTTCCTTTTTCAAGATACTAAAATGTTATGATGTCTACCCATATAATATGTTATGATGTCTACCTATTAAAAACTAGCACAATTGATTGAATGCATTCAGAATCCACAAACATAATTATATAAAAAAAAACTAGCATACCAATATCAATTGAGATGAAATTCTAGAGCAATTAGCAATGTCTAATGTAAATTAAGGATAAAAAACTAAGCTATCCTAGTGAAAGAAACAAAAAACGAAACCTCGGGATTAAACTTGAATGAAATTGGAGCTGCTGCCTTCTTCTTTTTTCTAACCTGCGGCTACTGCTATCTGCTAAACTCCAACCCTTTTTTTTTCCACCTGAGGCTTGCTCTCCAGAATTTGCTGCAGCTTGGACTCCTGCGTTTTTGCTCTCTCAATCAGCCCCCTTTTATTTATTTATTTATTTATCTTCTTCTTCTTGGGAATTCTTTCCCAATTCTTGCTGCCTAGTATTGCTGGTATTCCAAAAGAAAGAAAAGGGAATTTGTCTTGCTTTTGATTGAACCTACTGCTGCTCTATGAAAACAAAACTGCTGCTGCCCCTAAGAAAGAATAGAAGAATCTGCCCTTCTCCAACTCCGCGGCTGAAAACGATGTGCTAATCTCCCATTTTCCTTAAGCGTGGCGCGGCTGGAAAAGTTACAAGACAAAAAGAAGAATCCCGATTTTTGTGTTGCACCCGGTCGGGTATGACCTATACCCGATCGGGTACGTTGCTGAAAAATCAAATCAGATCAAATCCAGGAACAAGGCATCGTGCAGGGAGATATTTGACCACGTTAGAGTGTAATACCCGATCGGGTAACCGACATACCCGGTCGGGTATGCCCCACTTTTCCAGCTTCTGGGAAGCTACTGAAGGTACCCGATCGGGTGCCCTAAAAGCCCAATCGGGTACACACCCCTGAATGCCCCAAACACATATAAATACACCTCATTTCCTTCCCATTAAATTCACTTCACATATATCTCTAAACTCAGTTTAGACAAATATTTCCTTTATATTTTCTAGTATGTTTAGTCTCCAATGAGGAGCTAAACTCTTTTATCTTGGTTCTGCTACTTTGAAGCATAATGAATTGTAAGTTGTGAGTTATTTTCTTTAATCTCCTTCCTTGAATATTAATTAATTCCTATTCCTATTTCATAGTAATATTTTGAGCATTACTTAAAGGATCATCTAGTTTTGTTTCATATATTAATTATTACTAGAATCGATCGATTAATACTCTTGTTATTAATTCGGTCCTTTCACGGTAGTAAACTTGGGTTGTTAATGCATGCGTCTCGTGGTTAATAACCTAAGGGGGATTAATTATATTGATTAAACCAATAAACCGCTTGTGTTGAGGTTATCAATCTCAATCGTTTTCATCTTAAACTTATTGCTACTATCGGGTTAATATACGGCGTGTGTTCTATACTGACTCGGTAGTAAGTTTTATTAATGAACGCGTCTCGTTATTAATAACTACCCTTGATGAACTGGATATACTCCTCGATTGAGTATTCGAGAGGAAGATAGTTAAAGATATAATCGGGATCGACGAACATTTCATTAAGTGGATAAAAGCAAAGCCAAGTCTCCATCTCTTATTAATTAAACCACATAAGTCGTTTAACTTGGTGTTTAAATACTCTTAAGTTCTTCAGCAAACTAAAACCCCCCTTTGTTACTAGTTACATAAAAGAAAAGTATTCCTTTCCCGGTGGATACGAACCTTGCTTCAATATACTACGTATATTTGTTGTATTGATTATTATTTTGAGTGCAAACCATGACAAAGTGCACGTCAAATTTGGCGTCATTGCCAGGGGAAAGGCGATAATTTTTCTTTTACTTTTAATTCAAGAAAAAAAAATTAAATAAACAAAATATAAAGAGTTCTTATTTTTTATATTTCTGAGCTTTGTGAAGTATATGGTTAAACACCATTCGATAAACGAAATCACCTACCAAACAAATCCCGGAATAGAACAAGCCTTCGAGAGGTTTATGAATTTATTTCCAAATACTTCTTCGGAGGAATCATCAAGTGCTAGCTCTAGCGAATCTGAAGAGTCCTTCCACATGGCTCTTGAAACGAGAACTTTGAGTGAGATCACCGCTCCAAATCTCAATCAACAACCATTATGTATTACCTTCCCAACTCTTGATAAGGGGAATACATTCGAGCTCAAATCGGGACTCAATCATCTACTCCCATCTTTCCATGGCCTAAGAGGGGAGGATCCAAATAAACATCTCTCAGAGTTCCATGTTGTTTGCACAAGCATGTGTCCTAATGGAGTCACTGAGGAACAAATAAAGTTGAGGGCTTTTCCATTCTCCCTCAAGGATACCACAAAAGATTGGCTATTCTATCTTCCCTCGGGAAGTATAGGTACATGGGCGGCCATGAAAAAAGTTTTCCTCGAAAGGTACTATCCCGCCTCTGTCTCTCCATCTCTCAAAAAGCAAATAAGCAATGTGGAACAAAAAGATGATGAATCGTTTTATGAATATTGGGAACGATTCAAGAAACTTTGTGCAAGCTGTCCATACCACGAGTATTCAGAGCAAGACCTCATCCTATACTTTTATGATGGCCTTTGCGATGATGATAGGCGGATAATCAACGTTGCATGTGGAGGGGGAATTGTCAAGAAGACCCCTTCTCAAGCTATGAATCTCATCTCAGAGTTGGCCGATAATTGTAGACATTACAACGGGCGGTCATCAACAAAAAGTGTTATGGCGGCAGAATCATCATCATTGGAGAATCAAGTTGCCGGCTTGACCTCTTAGGTTAAGGATTTTCTTTTAAATTCCAAGACCCAAGAAGTCAAGGTCTGCGGCATTTGTACACAACAAGGGCATCCCACCGACTCATGCCCAACTCTTCAAGAAGATAATCCCGAGCAAGTCAACGCTTTGGGATTCCCAAACCAAAAGAGGTACGATTCTTATGACAATACATATCATCGCGGGTTTAGAGATCACCCCAACCTTAGATATGGGAATCCTCAAGGAAATCCACAACAAAATAACCCTCCGCAAAATCAATTACCTAAAAAACAACCATATTCTAAACCACAAGGCCAAAATATGTCCATCGAAAACATGATCCGAGCCCTCACCTCAAATGTCTCAACAATGTAATAAAACATGGTTCAATTTCAACATGAGACAAAATCAAGCATCCAAAACCTTGAGAACCAAATGAGTTAAATCTCAAGTGCGGTGAGTAGGCTTGAGGCCAAGGATTCAGGAAAACTCCCATCTCAAACGGAACCGAATCCTAGGCAACAAGCCCATGCGGTGACATTGAGGAGTGGCAAAGAGTTGGTCATTGCCAAAGAGAAAGCAAGAAGCCACATTGGCGAGGAGGAAGAAGAGGAGGAACTTGTGGAGAAAGCTCAACCGGAGGAGGAGGAGAAAGCTCACATCTCAACTCCACCACCAATCATCCATGAAATCGAGGCACCCTTTCCTGAGGCTCTAAGGGAAACACGAAGGGTGGAGAAAGACAAGGACATCTACGAGACCTTCTCCAAATGTGAGGTAAATATTCCTCTCCTTAACTTGATAAAAGGTGTTCCTAGATTTGCCAAATTTTTTAAAAGAGCTATGTACAATCAAAAGGAAACATAGACTCAATGGAAAACAAAAAGTACAAGTTAGTGAATGTGTTTCGGCGGTTTTTCAAAAGAAACTCTTAAAGAAATATAATGACCCGTGCATGTTCACTATACTTTGTAAGTTGGGAGGCACCACGTTTTCAAAGGCCATGTTAGATTTAGGAGCGTCAATTAATGTCATTCGTTATTCTTTGCATAAATCATTTGAGCTTGGCCCTGTAAATGAAACCGGGGTAGTTATTCAACTTGCGGAATAGGGCTGACAATATCACCCGCACCCGCGGATACCCGGTCAATCCGAACCGAAAATATGGATGAAAACCCGAAGAAGTATGAATGAAAAATGGATGATGGGTGGATTGAAAGATGGGGTGGATCGGATGTGGATGAAGGCTCATCCAACCCATCACCCGACCCGTCACCTGTTCCATCCACCCACCGGCTAATCCGCATATAAATATATAATATATACGAAGTAATATATATTATATCTAAGTAATAATATATAATAATAATAGTTAATATAAATATATTAATAGATAGTTAGATACTTAGATTCGTATATATGTTACTCCATATATGAAGTACATCAGGATTATTCCTGTCCGGAATTTCCGGACAGGAGCCCCGTCCGGAATTTCCAGACAGGAGCTCCGTCCGGCCTCCTCTATTTGGGAACCTTCTCGGTGGTATTTTTTGCTCAAAGTTTTTTGTATGTTCCTCATCAAGTCTAGTTCATCCATACCAAATTTCAGAAAACAATTCAATCGGGAAGGTTGTCAAATGATTTTTTAGAGTTAACTGGTCCGGAATATGTATTTTCCGGACCAGTTAACTTGCAAAAATCATTTGACGACCTTCCTGATTGAATTGTTTGCTGAAATTTGGTATGGATGAACTAGACTTGATGAGGAACATACACAAAAAATTTGAGAAAAAAACCACTGGGAAGGCCCCCCAAAAGAAGGAGGCCGTACGGCGCTCCGGTCAGGAAATTCCTGATCGGAAGATTACACTGAAGTACATATTACGGAGTATATGTTCCTTAATTACTAGAGCTATTTTGGAGAGTTGGAGGTGGACGCCTAGACGGATACTGAGAATCCGAGATTCCGATTTCCGAGGGATAGAGGAGCAGTCGCGCAGGGCGGCAGGCAGCGAAGCGGCAAGCGTCGGCGGTAGACGCTAAGCGGACTTCAACCATCGGTAAAAAATAGTTTTGTGTCAATGCATAAATGCAGAATTTAACAACTTGAAGAAGTTTTATGTCTATTTTGTTTAACATTCAGATCGTTCTTTATCATCGGCAATGAATTAATGATTATAATATACTTAATTGCTCATGTTTTTGTTGTTATTTTACGATGAATTCTTAATTTTTGGTTTTTAATTGTCATAATTTCTCTTTGTAATTTATTTATTTTGTCTCAAGTTTGACTATTTATATTTCACCCGCTACTCACCCGATCCACCCGATAACCCGTTCAAGATGGATGGGTTGGATGTGGTGTAATTTTTAATGGATGATGGACGGGTGGATGAAGTATAAAAAACTCAACGGTTGGACGTGGATGAGCCTCCACCCGGTGAAAACCCGACCCGCTGCCACCCCTATTGCGGATAGATCAAATGCCTACCTTAACGGTATTGTCGAAGATGTACTAGTTATGGTAGACAATTTGATCTTTCCCGCCGACTTTTATGTTTTAGAGATAGAAAATGATAAGAACGCGCGCGGTTCCTATCCTTTTAGGAAGACCATTTTTAAAGACTGCTAGAGCAAAAATTGATGTTTTTAGCGGATCTTTAACAATGGAATTTGATGCAGATAAAGTTAAGTTCAACATTTATGACTCCATGAAATACCCAAGTGAAAAGCATTCTCTATTTGTCATTGATATTCTTGATCCTCTTGTACAAAATACTTTTGAAATAAATGGAGAGGATGAATTGTTGAGCGTGATTGAGAATGATCTTGGGGAAAATTCTTTAGAACTTGCATTGACCCCTAACATACAAGCCATGATGGTGGAATTGGATAATCATTTCCAACTTCCACTTATGCCACCGGGGCTGAAAACATTTCCACTAACCATCCCCGAAGAAAAGCCTCTGCCTTCAATTTTGCAGGCACCTGAAGTGGAGATAAAACCACCCCCAAAACACTTGAAATATGTGTTCTTGGGAGAGAAAGAAACCTTGCTGGTCATAATTTTCAACAAATTGACCTATGGGCAAGAAGAGAGATTGATTGCGGTGTTCAAAGAGCACAAACTAGCAATTGGATGGACTATAGCCGACATCAAAGGCATTAGTCCATCTACATGCATGCACCGCATCTTGATGGAGGATGAAGCTAAACCGGTGAGGCAACCACAAAGAAGATTGAACCCACCTATGATGGAGGTGGTCATGAAGAAGGTCATCAAGCTACTTCAAATGGGGATAATCTTCCCCATTTCCGATAGCAAGTGGGTTAGTCCAACCCAAGTTGTTCCTAAGAAGACCGGAGTCATGGTGGTGGAGAACAAACATGGAGAACTTATGCCCACCCGAATTCTAAATGGATGGAGGGTATGTATAGATTACCGTCGACTCAACGCGGTAACTAGAAAGGATTTCTTTCCTTTACCCTTCATTGACCAAATGCTTGAAAGACTTGTCGGGCATAAGTTCTATTGTTTCCTTGATGGCTACTCCGGATATTTTCAAGTACCCATAGTCCCTGAAGATCAAGAGAAGACTATTTTCACTTGTCCGTTTGGCACCTTTGCATACCGACGTATGCCATTCAGACTTTGCAACGCCCCGACCACCTTCCAACGATGCATGATGAGCATATTCTCTGAATATGTTGAGCTATTTATGGAAGTTTTCATGGATGATTTCACAATCCATGGAGACTCATTTGATTCTTGCTTATGCCATCTATCTCTTGTTTTGAAAAGTTGTTTAGAATCAAACCTTGTTTTGAATTTTGAAAAATGCCACTTTATGGTGGAAGAAGGAATTGTTCTAGGCCATGTGATCCCATCCAAAGGGATAGAGGTGGACAAGGCCAAAGTTGAAGTCATCCAATCCCTCCCTTATCCTACTAACGTTAGGGAGATACGGTCATTTCTTGGGCATGCAGGTTTTTATCGGAGGTTCATCGAAGATTTCTCAAAGATTGCATCTCCTTTATGCACACTTTTGCAAAAGGAGGTGGATTCATATTCTCTGAGGATTGCAAGAAGGCCTTCAAAACTTTGAAGGAGAAACTTGTGACCGCACCTATCATCCGAGCACCCGATTTGTCTCTTCCTTTTGAGATCATGTGTGATGCTAGCGACTATGCGGTAGGGGCCGTCTTGGGCCAAAAAGTTGGAAGGGCCTCTCATGTAATCTACTATGCATCCACCACACCCAATGATGCCCAACGCAACCACGCCACAATCGAGAAGGAGATGTTGGCCATCATCTATGCACTTGAAAAATTCAGGTCATACTTATTTGGAACCAATGTGATCATCTACACCGATCATGCAACTCTTAGGTTCTTGATGACAAAAAAAGAGGCCAAACCGAGGTTGATCCGATGGATAGTTCTCTTGAGCGAGTTTGACGTTGAGATCAAGGACAAGAATGGAATGGAGAACTTGGTGGCCGATCACTTGAGCCGTTTAGTTCTTGATGAAGGAAATGATCACGCTAAGGATGATATCCGAGTGGAATTTCCCAATTGAACGAAACAGCAAGAGATAAAACGATACGAACAGGAGTGGGCTTAACTACAGGACCAAAGGTTTCAGAAAAATCCACACCAGCTTGTCGAGTAAATCCTTGAGCCACCAGACGTGCCTTATACCACTCAACTGACCCATCTGAATTAAATTTAGTTTTATAAATCCATTTAGACCCCACCACATTTTTACGAGGATTAAATGGAACTAAATCCCATGTATGATTATCAATGAGTGCATTAAACTCTTCCGCCATAGCCTTTCTCCATTTACATCCTTATTAGCCATAGAAAAACAAGAAGGATCACATGGCAAAATATCTGTTTTGAGATTAAAAATAGTTTTGGGTTTAAAACTACATCGGATGACCGTTTACCGGGGAAGGTGCAGGCGCGAACAGGGAAGGTGAATGATCAGAGATGCTGGAAGCAGATGGATGTAACGAAGAGTGTGGGGTACTGGGTGGTGAACTGGTCGACATGAGGGCAGTTTGGCTGGAGGAAGTGGGTGAGGCAGTGGACTGGTGAAGGGTGGGAGAATAAGACTGGAGGTCATGGTCAGGAGGCAAGTCGGGTGGTGGATGCTGCTGGTACGCAGCTTGCTGGAGCTGCGACCGAGAGTTTAAGGGGGAGGATTGGACGGTAGGGACCGGTATGGAGGCTGATGATGGTGTAAACGGTGCAGGTAAGGTGCTCTCATGAAACTGAACAGAACCGGTCGAAGACAACTGTGGCAATGCAGCAGGTTGGGAAGAAGAAATCAAGTCGGAATATGGAAAAATACTTTCATAAAAACGAACATTCCGATTGACGTAAATCTTGCCACTAATAGGATCTAAACAACGATAACCTTTGTATTCAGGGGCATATCCCAAAAAGACACACAAAATAGATCGCGGAGACAATTTGTTGGCAGAGGTGGCAATAAAATTTGGAAAACAAGCACAACCGAAAACACGCATAAAAGAGAAGTCGGGAGAGTGGTGAAATAATTTTTCAAACGGCGAAGCACCATCTAAATTTGGAGTGGGGAGACGATTAATAATATACTTCCTCCGTTCCTTTTTAATCGCAACAGTCAATATTTCACGTTTGCCAACGCACAAGTTTGACCATCAATATCTTTCATTCCTTATTAGTAAAAAAATTAAAAAATTCATATTTTGAAAATTTAGAATGAGAAGAATTTAACAATATTTTTTAAAAATTTAATTTATTATACATCAATTAATAAAATGTAGTCAAAGTAGAACATGTGAATAGTGCAAAAAGTCCAATGTTGCAACTAAAAGAGAACGAAGGTAGTATGTAGCAGTAAACACAACATCTACCTAAAAACTGGCTGGCATTTTTGTCTCAAGAAGCATAGTGCGAGTCAGTTCAAGTAAATGCTTGTGTTTACGCTCGACAACACCATTTTGTTCAGGAGTATCTGGGCAAGATTTCTGAAACAAAATGTCATTGCTAAGAAAAATTTCGCGCATACTATGATGATCAAACTCACCCCCTCCATCACTTTGAAAAATTTTAATTTTAGAATTAAATAAATTTTCCACCATTAATTTAAAATGTCTAAAATGACTCACAACTTCACTTTTACGACGCATAGGATAAAGCCATGTAAAACGAGAAAATCATCAATAAATAAAACATAATATTTAAAGCCACTTGCAGAAAGAACAGAGGATTGCCAAACATCTGAATGAATAAAAAATTGCGGAGCAGTAGATTTATGCCAAACTTCTTGAAAAAGTAATCGTTGTGATTTTCCTAAGCGACAAGAAATACAATCATGAGAAAAACTTGAAGTACTAAGAATAGTTCCATTCTTCCTAAGTCTATCTAAAATACGACTGCCACAGTGTCCCAAACGTCGATGCCAGACAGGTCCAGGAGCAACATGAGAAACAAGAGCAACAGACGAACAGGGAGAAAGAGAGATGGGGTAGACACCACCATTACTGGAAGCTTGAAGAAACACCTTCCCCGAAATTTGGTCCTTAACACAAACAGAGTTTTTATCAAATATCACAAAACAATTATTATCGACACATGACTTTTGAATAGATAGTAAATTATATTTAAGATGAGGAACATGAAAAACCGATTTTAAATGTGAATAGATCGAGGCGGAGTAGACAGATGCTGATCACCAACAATCATAATAGGTAAAGTAGAGCCATTTGCAACCGTAATAGAAAGTGGTCCAGAATAACTAGATTTATTAACTAAAATACCTTCATTAGCAGTCATGTGAGCGGAAGCACCGGAGTCAGGATACCAAACAGCCGGAGAGGATTCACGAGTAGGAACAGCTAAAGCAGGAGTAGAAGCTTGAGCAAAACGAGAAGGGCATGACACAACGGAATGACCTGGAGAATGACAGATTTGGCAGACAATAGGTGGTGGTACGGAATCAAAATTATTCTCACAAGATGGGAATCCTGCAGAAACATCGTTAGTACAAAAAGTAGATAATGCAGGAGTATAAAACGATGACCCAACTGTATTACAAAAAATTGTACCCGGTGGACCCAAAGAAGTGTTATTGAGCTGTCCACGGCCAGATGAAGGCTGCTGCGGGTGAGGCGGACGAGGGACATAGTACTGAGGCTGCTGTCCGTATGCCTGAGCTTGCTGTCCGTACGACAGTTGTTGCTGCTGGTAGCGTCCGCGGCCGCGGCCTCCACGATGGCCACCACGTCCTCCCCGATGAGGTTGCTGTTGTCCAGCGGCATTGGAAGCTGCCGGAGCAGCCCCTGCCGCGGTATTGGCCGAGAAGGCAGGCACACCAACAGTAGACTCCAGTGATTGTTGGTATTGTAAGTGTGCCTCTTGATGAACCAGCTTGGTGCATAATTTATCAAACGTCAAGCCTTCGGGAAAAAGAGTAAGTGGCCCCACCAATGATTCATTCCCCAGGTCCCAAGCCATAAAGTGTGTGTTGTAACAAATCCGCATCAGAAACCGGGGCATTAATTGAGTTCAAATTATCTGCAATTGTTCGTATGCCACGAACATACTCAACCATGGACTGATTGGCTTTCTTCCTAGCGTGAGATAACATATGTTTTAACTCCATTAAACGAGCAAGACCAGCCGCCATGAAACGAGACTCCAAATTTTGCCAAATTGTTGTGGAATTCTTAAGAGTATGAACTTCCATCAACACCTCACCGGAGAGTGTAGCAAACAGCCAAGCACGAACAGTCTGATCGAGTTTCAATCAATGATAATATTCAGGATTAACGGCCTGAGCCTGATATAAATCATAGGTGTACATAGGTGGAGCCGGAAGAGAACCGTCAAGTGGAGCCGGAAGAGAACCGTCAAGAAAGCCCAAGAGACCATTCGCCACAGAAAAGTACTCAAATTGTGTACGCCACGACAAATAATCTTCAACGGCTAATAACTTAGTGGTAACAATTTCAGCGATAGAATTACCAAAAGTCATGCCTTGAGCCAAGGAAGCAAAAGAAACTGGCATGGAGGACTCAGGCTGTCTGCGGCCGATGGTCTGGGGCAGAGTAGGAAAAACAAGACCTGGACTGCCAGTTAGAGTAGGTCCACCGAATCGCGTGCGGATGGCTGCTGCGTTACTAGATTCGTCGATCGAGTCTCCAGAGAGCAAGTGTTGCAGCGGAATCGTGGGTGGTGTTGGCATCAAGGTAAAAATTGGTGGGATCCATGTGGCCTGTAGCGGCGAGAACGAGGACTTGGGCTGGACGAGTTCAGACTCCAGCGACGCTGAGGATGTTCCCGAATCGTGAGATGCGCTCAAAACTGATGCTTCTGTCGCCGGTGTGCTGGTCATGGCGGCTGCGGAAGTCGAAGCAGACACGGCGGCTACGGAAGCTTCGGAGGAGGTCATCGCAATTTTTTTTATCTGTCTAAAACCCTAGGGCTCTTGATACCAAGTGAGAATAATGAAAAGACAACCAATGTGATAGCCTAGATGTCATATATATATATAATAATAAGAGTTCTGAGTACATTAGGAAATTAAATAAATATGGAAGCCTAATTAAAGTCTTAATTACATTATTACCCTCGTCCACGGCTGCTGCCACGGCCACCACGGGAGCCACCGCGTCCTCCCCCCTCTGATATTCATTTCTTAGTTCTTATTTCCCTAACTGCACAAGGTTTTAACGAAGGTAATGAGTATCGATGTTGAACTATAAAAATGCATATCAACTTATTGCTCCACACAACAATATTTTTTTTTCTATCAAGCAATATAATAACAATTGTCTTTCTAATTCTTACTACCTTTATTCCATTTTTTGTTATACTTTATTTTCAGATAGTCCCAAAAATATAAACCCACTACATTTTTACTTTTGACTTTTAATAATTTCAATTATTTTATTTTAAAGTTTAATCTATTTTTAGTATCACGTGAATCTAAAAATGCCATCATTGTTGTTTTCTACACATTGCTTTGAACCCGCACGGGTAGCTCAACTGGTAAAGCGGTGGGAAAGTTGGACAAATGATCAAGGATCGAAACCCACAGCGATCGTGTGGTCACAACTCCTATGTGCTGGGCTGGGCCTTTGATGCGCATGGGTATAAGGTCATTCCACCGTTAGGATTTGTTGAGACACCGTGATTTACAACCTCCCATGTGCTCTGTCAGGTCAGGGCATGGGGGGCCCTTGGGAGTTGGGGATTCAACCTTTTGGACAAACACATTGCTTTGTATTACATTTGTGAGGTTGACAATATTTTAATCCGCTTGCCATGTTTTGTACAAATGGAGTAGTCGCATTCTTATTTTATACTTACTCAATTTATTAGGCAAAATTGACACCAATAATCCATACTTTTACACATTTTACAAAAATACTTTCTACTTGAAAAGTTCACAACAATAATCTCAACCAGTTAACTTTTTTTACAAAAATAAACCGAGTGCTAATACTATTAAGTTTTCTGTTATTTTTTATTTTAAATATATTGAAGCAAATATATATATAAATATTGACAATGTTATATTTGATTTTAATCTTGTTTCTAGTAAAAATTTATTTTAGTATTCAATTTTTATCATAAAACATAATAGAAATATTTGAACACTACATATTACATACTCTTCAAATTCTCTACTCTTTTATTCCTTGTCCATATTTTATTTATATTCATTTTTTTTATTCATTCTAATAGAGATTTTAAAGTTTTTTTAGTAATACTATTTTTTCTAGTAATGCTACATTAAATATTAATACAAATTATGTATAACATTGAATATTTAATATGGATATTTCTAATATTTTTTTGATACATTCAAAATTAAAAATAACAGAAAAGTTAACACTGTTAGCACTCAGATTATTTTGTGAAACATAAAACTCGTTGGGATTATTTTCATGAAATTTATCACTAGGGATTATTTTTATAAAATGTGTAAAAGTAGGGATTATTGGTGTCAATTTTGCCTACTTTTAACAAAAGTAATATATTTGACTTTATAAGTAAATTTAATAAGTAAATTTAATGTATTAATAGTTAATTAGAAAGAAGTGTCTTGAAATCATTATTGGTCACTTATTTTACAAAAGAAATTGAATTAAAATTTATGGGTTGTAGGCTTTGTAGCCATGATCGAATTCCAACCCCACCAGTCCTAGTCGGCTAGTCCCACGCCCCAACCTATGCTCCAATTTTTGTCCTATTTAGGGAAGTTAAAGACTTCCATCATGTTTTAGTCCTATTTACGGAAGTTAAAATATAAACTCCAATTTAACATGAATCATGGACAATTTGAGATAATTTTGAAAAGCAATTTGCAACCTATTCATTTGAAAATAAAATTATAATTATTATTAATTAAACCTCAAGCCTGATCTATGCCGTCTAAGCGGGCATTAACAACACAAAAGTTTATTAGCTAGAGCGCATGTTGCAATCTCATATCATAGTAGTAGTTATAATTTTATACCGGAGTGCATTGTAAGCCATGTGGCAAATGATTTATTAATCTAATAAAAGGCTGTTTGTTCGGTTAAAAAAACAACACAAAAGTCTTCTCTTCAGGAGCCAGAAGGAATAAACGACTCCAAACTACATACCGGACGACCTCTTTTTCAGTTTGCACCATAACCCATTTTTTGTATGAATGGTTGCACCTGTGACGAGCTCCACCGACTCAGGTGATCCACTCAACTCTATGTCGAACTTCTGAAGCAGCATTGCTAATGCTATGGTTGACTCCATGAGGGCGAACTGGTCACCTACACATTTTCTTGGTCCACCACCAAAAGGCAAGAAAGCAAAGTCTGACATAATCTGAATCATCACACAAGTGGCCCCATTAGAATGCATATAAGAAAGACACTTCATCTGCATTCCATTTCTTTCACCAAACAATAAGGTGCTTGCCATAAGCTAGCTACTAGTGTTTTTAAATAACATTCGTTTGGTTGGTTGGGGGGACTTTTCTAATAAGCTCGCATCGTCAAAAAATAAGGTCACGCTTATTTTCTATGTTTCATGGAATGTCTTTTCAAAACAGCTGATGATATATTTTGTTTATAGTTCAATTTTTACCTCATTTTCTATTTCAAAAATATTTTAGGCACCCCATTTTATGTAATTTTGTATTTCTAAATTAGCTTGTTAGCAAATTTCTTCCAAATGCTATGAGAAGAGCTAGCTTATGCGCTAGAAGTTATCAGATATACATTATAATCTTTACATTAACTTATAAGCTATAAGCTGACTTATCAGCTTGCTTTGCCAAATAAAACTCAACTGTTGCCACAGTGATTGCTGAATCCAGGGATGATAAAAATAGTGCAGTCATCTTTTTGGCAGAAATAGCTCGATTTGATACTATTTGTTTTATTGTTAGGTACTCAACTTAAATAATTTTAACAGATTTAGCCACTTGAGCCATTTCAAATCTGGGTTTCAGTGGTCTAAATTAATTAACTCGATAAATATGTGCAAAAAGCATATTGCAATAATCAGGTCACATTTGAAGAACTGGCATTGTACAACCAACATACAAAAACAATTAAACAGCGTCCAGAGAGCAGCTGACCTCATTTGGGTATAATGCTCCTGGGCTCCTACATGGATCAAACCCAGCCCACCCCTCAATTCCTTCACTTTCTCTTCGAACTTGAAACCTCTCAGGTTCAAACTTGTCTGGTTTGTCCCAAAAGTATGGTGACCTATGGAGATTATACACCTGTTTTGATGTGTAACTGAAACAATCAAATCCATGGGGACCATCCTACCTTGAAGAATCTTTATCCTAGAGTTATGAGTCTATGAGTCCTCAAACCCATTATACAGCAAAAAAATATGCGCACAAATGATAAGTAACAAACTTACCGAAATAAATACATCAGTACCAGCTGGAATTTCATATCCATCCTTGTCACCGCTGTATCCTCCTTCATAGTTGCATAAGATTTTCAGGAAACAGTGACAGCAAATGCTTAAAGGTTCTATTCAGAGCCTGGATTATATTATGGTAAGATAATACTCCCCCTGTCTCTTAAAAAACTTCCTAATTTGACTTTCAGGGATTTTATGGATATCACATTCTTTTCTTTGACTTCCAATAACGTTTCTTTTTACTGCAGGTAAATATACTGTAGAATAAAGTTTTGACACTGCATATTTACTCTTTACAACAGAAGTGAATATTGTTTGAGGATAGCAATTAAATATCTATTGATACTCGTTATCAAAGTAAAACCAAACATAAGAATAACTTGCTGTGGCATTTTTTTGCCCAAACATACACCAAGAATTGAGATCATGATGTGCGCAGAATGAAAATGATGCGAACTCTATGCGATGAGGCTTCCTCAAATTTGTGACTACACTTTTAATGCTGGTTGACTCAAATGTACAAGGTTCTTCTCATGGTTTAAAATATTTCAGTTCAGATCTTAATCAAAGCTCCATCATTTAAAAAACCACTCTTGAGATATTACGAAATCTTACAAATTTCGGCGTGTTCTCAAGACCGCTCAACAAAACAAATCTATCATTAGAACTAATTTGAGATGTATATGAAAACCGTCGAATTTAAGTGTTTCAATTCTGTTCAGGAAAGCTGAAGAATTATATGAAAGAGTATTTGTTCATTGATAATTATGAGAGTACATCGTACTGCTATTTATATACACTTGGAGAGTATTCTAGAAGCTAACTGTTTACACAAATCAAGGAGAAACTTTAGTAGATAACTACACGTGTATATCTATTATAACAGAATGAATAACATAGATAATTAGTATTAATTAAGATTATTTAATACGCCCCCGCAAGATGGAGTTTCCGTCGGAGACTCCCAGCTTGGACCGAAATTTTGCAAAGGCAGCTTTGGGCAACGGTTTAGTGAGTAAATCTGCTATCTGTTGTGAAGTGGGAATGTGATGAACACTTAGTTGACCACGTTCAATAAGCTCACGAACAAAATAGAAATCCAGTGCAAGATGCTTCATGCACGAGTGAAATACAGGATTTAAGCAAACATATCGTGCCCCTTGATTATCACAAAATAATTGAGGGGAAACAAAGAGAGTAATGCCCAGTTCCGATAAGAGATGTCGCACCCAAATGAGTTCAGCACTGGCATTCGCAACAGCACGGTATTCTGCCTCAGTCGAAGACCGTGACACACATTTCTGTTTTGCAGACTTCCAAGAAATAATATTAGTCCCAAAATAAATAACATAGGCAGTAGTGGATCGCCCACCATCATGAATCCCCCCCAGTCCGAGTCAGAGAAGGCAGTAAGAGTGAGGGAGGAATGTCTCCGAAGGAATAAGCCATAGTGTAGTGTGCCCTTAAGATAGCGAAGGAGCCGCTTGACGGCCTGCCAATGAGCCGTCGTGGGAGCATGCATGTATTGAGACAGCTTGTTCACCGCAAAAGAAATATCCGGTCTAGTGAAGGACAGGTACTGGAGAAGACCCAAAGCCCGGCGATATTGAGTAATATCATGGAATGCAGAACTGTCATTAAGATGTAGAGTGATTGATGAGCTCATGGGTGTGGCAGACTCTTTTGCTTCATGCATGCGGAGTGTTTCCAGAATATTAAGAGTGTATTGTCTTTGGGAAAGAAATAATCCATCGGAGGTAGGGATTACCTCAATGCCAAGGAAATGATGAAGCATGCCTAGAACTTTAACAGAAAATCGCATGGTGAGCTGTTTAATAAATTTTTCAACCAAGCTAGATTGATTTCCTGTCAAAATTATATCATCCACGTAGACCATGAAATATAATAAAGCACCTGCATGTGAGTAAACAAATAGAGAAGCATCTGCTCGTGACTTTTTGAACCCAACAGTCTGCAAAAATCTTGTAAGTTCAAGATACCAGGCCCGAGGCGCCTGTTTAAGACCATATAGAGCTTTTTGGAGTTTGCATAGATAGGTAGGATGAGTACCGTCCTTGAACCCCGGAGGTTGAGTCATATAAACCTCTTCAACCAATGTACCATGTAAAAACGCATTGTTGACGTCCAACTGACGGAGTGGCCATTGATGAGATAAAGCAATAGAGAGAACAAGTCGGATAGTAGCGGGCTTTGTAACCGGACTAAATGTCTCAAAATAATCAATTGAAATAGAGTCGGTCAAGATGAATTGAAATAGAGTCGGCAGAGAGAATTTGGAGTATTCATTATTTCTGATCAAAATCGTTTGTAAAGCTTTTTACAAGGAATATAAATACACTTCGTATCCTATCTACGATCTCAGTGGGTTACAAAGAAAAGAATTTTAAGGCTGTACGTAAGCTAGGTGAGTAGCAGCCCTTTACAAGGAGATAAGAATGGAAAAACAAAATAATACAATTATTAACAATAAAATACATATTATCATGCGTACGTCCAAAAATACCAACCCCCCCCTCAAGATGGAGCATGTGGATCATGAGTGCCCATCTTGGTAAGGAGATGATGAAATTGAGTAGCACCCAAAGCTTTAGTAAGTATATCCGCCAATTGTTCCGTAGTAGACATGTAGGACGGAATGATAGCTCCAGACTTCACATGGTCACGAATAAAATGGCAGTCGAGCTCGATATGCTTAGTACGCTCATGAAAGACAGGATTGGAAGCAATATGTAGAGCTGCTTTGTTATCACAAAAGAGCTTGACCGGTGGAAGCTTAATGTGAGGGATGAAAATAAACTCCGTAACCACAAAAGTTCGCAAGTAAGAGCTGCCATAGAGCGGTACTCGGCTTCGGCAAAAGAACGAGAAACCGTAGCCTGCTTCTTAGTCCGCCAAGAAATAGGAGAACCGCCAAGTGTTACAAAATATCCTGTAACAGAACGCCGTGTATTGGGACAACTGGCCCAATCAGAATTGCAATAGCCAAGAAGTAAAAGAGGAGAATTGCGCCGAAACACAATCCCCTGCCCTGGATGACCTTTGAGATATCGAAGTACTCGTAAAATAGCATCCCAATGTGCCTGTCGAGGAGCTTGCATAAATTGGGAAAGGATATGGACGGAGTAATTAATATCCGGTCGCGTTAGCGTAAGATAAATGAGTTTGCCAACCAACCGCCGATATCTTTCAGGGTCTGAAAATAATGGACTATCATCAGATTGAAGGCCATGATTTTGGGACATAGGAAAAGTAGCGGGTTTGGCACCAGTCAGCCCTGTCTCAGACAAAATATCCAGAACATATTTTCGCTGGCACAAAAAAATACCATGCGGACTCCGTGCAATTTCTAGGCCAAGAAAATACTTCACAAAACCCAAATCTTTGACAGGAAAAGTGCGGGCCAGATATGATTTAAAAATAGAAATCATTTCAGGACTAGTACCAGTAATTAGCAGATCATCAACATACACAAGAATGCATAATAGGTGTCCACCCCGGTGGAGGGTGAATAAAGAATAATCAGCATGTGACTGAGAGAACCCATAAGCAAGAAGTGCATTAGTCAATTTGGAAAACCAACAACGTGGGGCTTGGCGAAGACCGTAAAGAGACCGTAACAACTTACAGACCTGGCCCGGTTTAGAGGAGGAATAACCGGGGGGGCAAGTGCATGTATACCTCCTCCTGGAGGTCGCCATGCAAGAAGGCATTGTCTACGTCCATTTGATGTGTCTCCCATCCACGCGAAGCAGCAATGGCCAAAATAGTACGAACTGTGACCATTTTGGCCACAGGGACAAAAGTCTCGTCATAGTCAATTCCCTGTACCTGGCGGTTACCACAGACTACGAGTCTGGCTTTGTAGCGATCAATACTACCATCACTCTTATATTTTATTTTATAAACCCATTTACAATAAATAGGTTTCTTGCCAGGGGAAGGTCCTGTATTTTCCACGTACCTGTGCGTTCCAATGCATCAATCTCCTCGTGTTGCATAGCAACACGCCAATTTGGATCACCAACCGCCTCACAAAATGTATTTGGTTCTCGGCTGGCTGAAATGGCTGCAATAAAAGCACGATGCTGCACCGAAAAACAGTTGTAATTTACATAATGAGATAAGGGATACGGATTACCTGATTCAACCGATGGAGACAAGAGAGCAACAGGAGGAGTATCTATTTTCATAGTATTAATTTGTACCGTGTAGTCTTTATGCCACACCGGTTGTCGCTTTGGTCGTGTGCCCCGACGTACAGAATGTTCGAATGGTTGTGTTGGTGTGTCACTGCTGCCCGCCTCCTGGGAATGTGACGTGAATGAAGTAGCCGCCGTGTCATTTTCCGTATCATCATGGTTTCCTTCGTCGTGGGCTGAAGTGGAGGATGATGATGCTTGAGAATTTCTTGTTCCAGTATGCATGCCGTCATTATCATCATACCCATATGCATGCATGTCATCATGGTCATCACCAACTAGGTAGTGTGGAGGTTCCGTCACCATTCTGGACGTGTCATTGCTATCTGCATTCTCCATAATTGACTCACGAAAGGGAAATTCTGACTCAACAAATGTAACGTCTCTTGAAACAAAAAAACGTTGACCTTCAAGATCATACATTTTCCAACCCTTTTGGGAATAAGGATACCCCAAAAAAACGCACTTCAATCCCCGTTGAGCAAATTTGTCCCCATTATTCCCATGTGCACGTGCATAACAAAGGCAACCGAAGACACGAAGATGATCATAATTGGGTCGCTTGTTATACAATAATTCATAAGGGCTCTTGTATTCCAAAATCGGGGAAGGTAACCGATTAATAAGATAACAAGCAGTCAACACACATTCCCCCCAAAAATCAATCGGTAGATGAGCATGAAAACGAAGAGTACGGGCTATATTTAAAATATGCCTGTGTTTACGCTCAACCCGTCCATTTTGTTGCGGAGTATAAACACAAGTTGTTTGAAAAATAATTCCATGATCCAAAAAATAATTTTTCAAACACTGAAATTCTGTCCCGTTATCACTCCTAACAATTTTCACTCTTTTGTTAAATTGCCGGTCCACCAACATGATAAATTGTTTAAGTATCCGGGACACCTCACTCTTTTCTTTCATCAAGAAAACCCATACAGCACGCGAGTAATCATCAACAATAGTCAGAAAATATCTAGCACCACAAGACGCAGGAGAACGATATGGACCCCACACATCACAATGTATTAAATCAAATACGGCAAATGCTCTGGATTCACTAATATGAAAAATATCACGTGTCTTTTTCCCACGGAAACATGCGTCACAACTTTTATTCAAACCAGTATCCAATGTAGAATTATTCAAAGTAATAACAGAACGTAAAACTTTGACTGATGGGTGTCCTAACCGGGAGTGCCACAGATCTCCTTTGCTTTTCTCCGTTATTGAACATGCACGAGCAGAATCAAGACTACGAAAATAGTATACTCCTCCATGTTTTTCACCCGCTCTAATCAGCGTCCTCGAAGGTAGATCCTGTATCACACAAACATCATTAGTAAAAAATACACTGCAATTTCGGTCATCAATTAATTGTGCCAACGAAATTAAATTGCACATCAGTCCAGGTACTAATAAAACATTTTGCAATGTAATTCCGAGGCTTATCTTCACGGTCCCCTTGCTTGTGGCAGATGTAACTTCGCCATTTGGTAGATACACAGGCAGCGGTTTTATTTTCCGTACGTTCATCAACAAGCTCGTCTGTCCGGTCATGTGAAACGAAGCACCCGAGTCTAATAACCACGTATTATTACAAGCACCCATACCTAACAATTTTTCCTGAGAAGCCGTCGTCTTACATTTTTCCATCAACTGGAGAAAATTTCTCCATTGAACGTCAGTAAAATCGGGCATGCGTGCAACATCTTCTGATCCAGATGTAGGAGCAACAATCACCTCGCCGTCTTGCTGCGTCTTCATGGCATGCACAGTGGCGCAGGCATGGCCTCCTCCAGCGCTACCGCGTCCCCTACCAGTGCTAGGGTTTTGAGAGTTGTTCGCCATCCTGAATAAACGTCGGAATAAGGGCTCCCCTGAAGCTTTTGGTTCGCCGTTCAAGGGGTTGGTCGTCTGGTTCATCATCGTTGATTCGTTCGTAAGAAATAGATCGTGAGAGTCGTTCATGGATAATAGGTCGTGGATCATTTACTGTTCTGATACCAAATTGAAATAGAGTCGGTCAAGATGAATTGAAATAGAGTCGACAGAGAGAATTTGGAGTATTCATTATTTCTGATCAAAATCGTTTGTAAAGCTTTTTACAAGGAATATAAATACACTTCGTATCCTATCTACGATCTCAGTGGGTTACAAAGAAAAGAATTTTAAGGCTGTACGTAAGCTAGGTGATAAGAATGGAAAAACAAAATAATACAATTATTAACAATAAAATACATATTATCATGCGTACGTCCAAAAATACCAACATAATCACGTCCCGGTTGTTGGAGAAAACCACGAGCAACCAGTCGTGCTTTGTACCGTGCAATACTACCATCCGCATGACGTTTAACCCGGAAGAGCCATTTGCATGTAATAGGGGTACGTCCGGACGGTGGAACTAGCGTCCAAGTTTGGTTCCTGTGTGAAGGGCATCTAATTCCTCCTCCATGGCAGCCTTCCAGCGAGGATCACCCAGAGCTTGCTTCACACTGGTGGGTTCTAGAGAAGTGGGGATGGGATGATTAGTGGTAGTGTTAACAAACGGGCCACCTACATATTTGGAATTGGGTTTACGGGTACGGGCTGGACGATTAAGGGTGGGTAGATTAAAAGAAGAAGGTTGGTCCGAGGTGGATAAAGAGGGCCCAGTTGAGGAGGCCGGTGGTGAGACGGAGTGTGGGGGACACGTGGGTGGTGGGGTTGGGTGTGTAGTGTTGTGGGTGTTATGACTAGGTGAAGTTGGCAGATTATGTGGTGCTCCAGGGATAAGGCAAGTTGACGTAAAGGATAGATTAGAATTATTGGAATTTGAATTATTGAGATGTGATGTGATAAGGTTGAGTGGATTGGAATGGGAGTTAAAGGTTGGTGGGTTAGGACTTGACTCGGGCGGAAGAATAGGAGGGGGTGAGATAGGATTTGAATTTGAATTTAAATTAGAATTTAAATTTGAATTGGGAGTAGTTTGATACTTTGATGTTGCGGCAAAATAGGAGGGGACGGCTGAGTAGCTGAGGAGATAGGTACGGGTATAATGGGGTAAGTGTTTGACCTCGGAGTAGCCGTTTGACAAGGAACCTCACGGGGAGAATTTTGCATGCCTGCATGCGTGGGGGTTAACATGTGTGTGCTGGGAGAATTTTGCACCGACGACCCATTGTGACCTTTTTGAAACGGAAAATAATGAGATATAAATCTCACATGACGACTTACATATAGACGACCCGTGTGAATATCAAGACAATGGAATGCCGATTGTGTTGTAGAATATCCCACAAACACACACACACTCGACCTGAATTGAAGTTTTGAGTCAGAGTAGGGACGAAGCCACGGATAGCATAGACACCCAAATGGACGGAGTTTGGACAAATTTGGTAACTTATTATATAACCGAACATATGGAGAGTCATTTTGAAGTAATGGAGTGGGTAACCGGTTAATAAGATAGACAGCGGTTTGAAACGCATACGACCAATAGATAGAAGGGAGACCAGAATAATGAAGTAAAGCGAGACCGGTATCAACAATGTGACGATGCCGGCGCTCAGCTATACCATTATGTTCCGGTGTATGAGGCGGGGTGGTGAAGTGAGAAATACCATGAGTATTTAGGTAAGATCGCAATTTAATATATTCACCGCCATTGTCAGAAAATACCGCAACGATTTTGTGATTGAAGTATTTTTCAACAAGGCGATGAAATTGGGGAAATATATGTGCCACCTCAGATTTTGCTTTAAGTGGATATAGCCAAGTATAACGAGTAAAATAATCCACAAAAATGACATAAGAATTATGACCATCAATGGACTTAGTGTGAGTACTCCACACATCGGAATATATTAATTGTAGGGGACTAGTTGCAGACATAGAATTAACGGAAAATGGCAACTTGGTACTTTTATTGATGAAACAGGAATTACAAAAGTAATCTAACGGAGCACTACATTTGATAATATTATTGTGTTGACGAACAATATTATTGAAAACACTTCGAGACGGATGACCAAGAGTATGATGCCACCAAGAAATGTCAGAAAGTTCTCCCCGCGCATAAGTGGCGCCCCCGTGACTAGATCCTTGACAAAAAAATGAGAGGGAAAAAATTCAACACACACATGATTAGTTTGACATAACTTGACAACGGAAATGAGGTTTTTATGAAGGCTAGGAACACATAGGACTTGAGAAAGAGAGAGAGGACGGGATTGGGTAGGGAGGGTAGTATTACCAGTGTGAGTTATCTGGAGTGACTTACCATCGCCAAGGCGTACTTCATCCGGTCCACCGTACTCAGAGTAGGAAGGAAGAAGTGATGCATCTGAAGCCACGTGATGGGATGCTCCACTGTCCAAAAGACACGGCTGCCCAGTTGAGGTGGTGTTTGTGGATAGATGATTGGCCGTAGGAGGAGGAGCATGCACCGGGTAGGACACCTGATGATCACGCAAAAACCTCTGGAGTTTACGGCAGTGTTTCACATCATGCCCCAATCCATAGTGTAAGATACATTTGGGGTTATCGTGGTTTTTACGTGTGGAAACCCTAGTAGTATTGGGCTTAGCCCATTTGTATAGCTATAAATATAGCTTCTTGTATAGTATGTTAAAATATCAAGTATATGAAATATAACAATACTTGTTTACATGATATCAGAGCCGTATATGTCTCTAGATATAGTATTCTTAATTTCCGACAAGAAAGTCCGCCGTGAATAGTAAGAGCATTTGGTGTTTGAGCAATTTCCGGTAGTGATATATCAAACCACACCTACCGCCATCCTCAGTACACTAACGTCTGAAACTAAACCTCTGCTGCACCTTGCACGCACTGCCACGCGCCGCCGCCAACTGCCAGGTTCCTTCACCTTTCTTTACAGATCTCTCTCTTTCTACTCATCTTGAGCTCACACAGACGAAACACTGAAGATCTGTGGCTCCTAGCGACCAAAACAACATAAACCAGTCACTCATCGGACCCACGCGCCGCCGCCGCCGCCAAAACCACGCGTCGCTCATATCGGTCGCCGCCGCCTTTCTGGCCGCTCGCCGCTGCTCTGGCCGTTGCTCCACCTATTTGACGGAATCTCAGGCAGTTACTTCCGCTGTTTCACTGCTCTCTGGTCTACTTGTTCACACTCCAGCTTGGCGTCGCCTGAGAGATGGTCCCTCAAACGTGAGACGGTCAACACACTCAGCAGGTTTTATTTTTTACGGAGTATTTGCAAACGGCTATCGTGAGTTCTACTGTCTTGAAGCGTTGATCCTCAGCAGGTTTTATTTTTAATTTCTCATTTGTTAGCTTTTCATTCTTCTAAAAAAAAAGAAAAAAAAACAGTATTTAAAAAAAAATGTCTTTTATGAGTTCTGACAGAGGAAACAACACCGGATACTCAAGATGGAATCGTCCTAAATGTGATTTTTGCCATAAAATTGGTCATACTAAAGACAAATGTTGGAAATTACATGGGAGAAATCCTCCCTCAGCCCATGTTGCTCAGCTCCCATCATCTTCCATTGTTCTATCACCGGAAGAATATGCAGCATATCAACAATTTAAGTTGACTAATATGCCTTTATTCACGCCCGGGGTGTCTACCGCTTGTGTTTCAAACACAACGGGCTCATGGATCATTGACTCAGGTGCCTCAGAGGCTCAGACCATATTTCTGGTAATCCCCATCTTTTATCCCATATTAACAAGCACTGACATCTTCCTTTGATTACTCTTGCTAATGGCCTTCAAACTTCGGCTTTGGGTATTGGGCAAGCACTTCCATTTTCATCCTTACCATTAGACTCAGTCTTATATGTCCCTAACACCCCTTTTAACCTTGTCTCTGTCAGCAAAATTACACGTGCTCTTAATTGTTCCGTAACATTTTCTGCTGATTGGCGTCGGACATGAATCTCAAGGTTTGTATCATCTCCATCCTCCTGATCCAACCGTTTGTGTTTCAGTTGAACCTGCTATTACCTTACACAACCGTCTGGGTCATCCTAGTCTCTCGAAGTTTCAACGTATGGTTCTAGGTTTCTCAAATCTTTCATCTTTAGATTGTGAGTCATGTCGCCTTGGAAAATAACCTCGTACATCCTTTCCAAGGAGAATCAATAAATGGGCTACATCACTGTTTGATTTAGTTCATACAGATGTAAGGGGTCCGTATCGAGTCACTTCTACTTTAGGTTTCCGTTATTTTGTTATTTTTGTGGATGATTTTTCTCGTTACACCTGGTTGTTCTTAATGAAGAAGCGTTTTGAATTGTTTCATATTTTTCAAACGTTTTGTGCTGAAATTCAAACTCAGTTTGGTCATTCTATCAAAATTTTACGCAGTGACAATGCTAAGGAATTTTTTGGGGCATCCTTTAATCAATTCATGTCATCACAGGGCATGCTTCACCAATCATCTTGTGTTCACACGCCTCAACAAAATGGGGTTGCTGAACGCAAGAACCGACACTTGGTTGATACTGCTCGTACCTTATTATTACATTCCCATACACCTCCCCAGTATTGGGCTGATGTTGTGCTCACTGCGTGTCATTTAATAATTAGAATGCCTTCCTCAGTTCTTAATAATGAAATTCCCTATACTATTTTGTTTCCTGGCCGTGACTTATTTCCATTACCACCTCATGTCTTTGGGTGTGTGTGTTTTGTCCATGATACGACACCTGGATTAGCTAAAATGTCGGCTAGGTCAATAAAATGTATCTTTCTTGGATATTCACGACTCCAAAAGGGTTATCGTTGTTATTCTCCATTACTTAAAAAACATTTTATTTCAGCAGCTGATGTCACTTTCATTGAGTCGTCCTTCTATTATCCTTTATCTTCAGTTGATACCTCATCATGTTTGGACTTCACCTCATATCTCCGGCCCATCCACCAGGAGACTCCCATTAGCCCCCCATCTGATGAGCACCCAAACTTCCCTCCTATGTCAGACCGTCCATTACAGGTATACCTTCGACGACCTCGACCTCCTCCCATTGAGCCCATCATGACCACGCCCGTTGATTCCCCTATAATGGATCCTGCATCACCACCATCACTTGAAACCACTCAGGATGATTTGTCCATTGCCCTCCGAAAAGGTACGCGTTCCACATTGAATCCACATCCCATATATAACTTTTTGAGTTATCACCGCCTCTCTACCCCTTACTATGCTTTCATTTCCCACCTATCTCATATATGCATTCCTAAAACCACACATGAGGCACTGGCACACCCGGAGTGGCGTAAAGCCATGTTGGTTGAGATGGAGGCTCTTCATTCTAGTGGGACGTGGGACTTAGTCCCCATTCCCATTGACAAATCAGTGGTGGGATGTCGGTGGATTTAGGGAGTGTTTGCAATTGCTTCAACTTTAAAAAAGTGATTTTTTTAAAGTGATTTTGGGAAAAGTGATTAATAGTAAAAGTTGGTAGTGTTTGAGAAAAAAGTGATTCTGAAAAAGTAAAAGTTGGTAGTGTTTGGTAAAATAAGTACTTTTTGTGTAATAGAAAAAGTGAGAAGCAGTTTAAAGCACCCTTCTACCTGCTTCCAGCTTTTAGCTTTTAAGTGATTAATTTAAGCAGAAGTTGTCATTTGAAAACACTCTTTTCAGCTTTTTTAAGCCAAAAGCTAAAAAACGCTTTTTTAAAGCAATCCCAAACACCGCTTTACACAGTTAAAGTTGGGCCTGATGGGGAGATTGATCGCTTTAAAGCACGCCTTGTGGCGAAAGGGTATACTCAGATATATGGTTTGAATTACACTGACACTTTTTCTCCTGTAGCGAAGATTGCATCAGTTCGTTTGGTTTTATCCATGGCAGCAATGAGCCGCTGGCCATTGTTCCAATTGGAAATTAAAAACGCATTCCTTCACGGAGATCTGCACGAGGAAGTTTATATGGAGCAACCACCTGGATTTGTTGCTCAGGGGGAGTCTAGTATGGTGTGCAGATTACGCCGTTCATTATATGGCTTGAAGCAATCTCCACGTGCATGGTTTGGGAGGTTTAGTGACGTTGTCTGCAGCTTTGATATGATTCGCAGTGATGTCGATCATTCTATATTCTACAGACTCTCTGCTGGCAACAAATGTATTTATCTTGTTGTGTATGTTGATGACATTGTCATTACAGGTAGCGATGATCAAGGAATTGCGCTCCTCAACCAACATCTCTTTAGCAAATTTCAAACAAAAGACTTGGGAAAGTTGAGATACTTCCTTGGTATTGAGGTCGCACAGTCTCAAGATGGAATTGCTCTCTCACAAAGAAAGTATGCCTTGGATATTCTTGAGGAAACAGGTTTGCTAGATTGCAGGCCACTGGATACACCAATGGATCCGAACGTTAAACTCTTATCAGAACAGGGAGATCTTTTGACCAACAAGGAAAAATATAGAAGACTCGTCGACAAATTGAATTATCTTACCATCACAAGACCAGATATTTCATTTCTGGTAAGTGTTCTTAGTCAGTTTCTTGATAAGCCCTGTACTGGACACTGGGATGCAGCTATCCGAGTTTTGAGATACATCAAGAAAACTCCACGGAAAGGATTGTTGTTTGAAGATCGAGGCCACCATGATATGGTGGGATACTGTGATGCAGACTGGCCCGGATGTCCGACGACCCATTATGACCTTTTTGAAACGGAAAATAATGAGATATAAATCTCACATGACGACTTACATATAGACGACCCGTGTGAATATCAAGACAATGGAATGCCGATTGTGTTGTAGAATATCCCACAAACACACACACACTCGACCTGAATTGAAGTTTTGAGTCAGAGTAGGGACGAAGCCACGGATAGCATAGACACCCAAATGGACGGAGTTTGGACAAATTTGGTAACTTATTATATAACCGAACATATGGAGAGTCATTTTGAAGTAATGGAGTGGGTAACCGGTTAATAAGATAGACAGCGGTTTGAAACGCATACGACCAATAGATAGAAGGGAGACCAGAATAATGAAGTAAAGCGAGACCGGTATCAACAATGTGACGATGTCGGCGCTCAGCTATACCGTTATGTTCCGGTGTATGAGGCGGGGTGGTGAAGTGAGAAATACCATGAGTATTTAGGTAAGATCGCAATTTAATATATTCACCGCCATTGTCAGAAAATACCGCAACGATTTTGTGATTGAAGTATTTTTCAACAAGGCGATGAAATTGGGGAAATATATGTGCCACCTCAGATTTTGCTTTAAGTGGATATAGCCAAGTATAACGAGTAAAATAATCCACAAAAATGACATAAGAATTATGACCATCAATGGACTTAGTGTGAGTACTCCACACATCGGAATATATTAATTGTAGGGGACTAGTTGCAGACATAGAATTAACGGAAAATGGCAACTTGGTACTTTTATTGATGAAATAGGAATTACAAAAGTAATCTAACGGAGCACTACATTT